CGACTGTTGTTGCGAAGGTTTTCTCTGACCTTTCCGGGAGTTTCTTCCCGTTAGGTGTGTATGCCAAACCTGGTGAGGCATTCAGGTGGACGGTATTAACAAACACTAACAGCAACCTCACGAATCAATGGATACGAATAAATGCACAAACTGATTTGATTGATCACCACCCGAGATGGAGTCGATGGCCAATACTGTCCACTGCAATATGCATGCGGAAACAGGGGCAATATGTCAGTCCTCACGGTGGACCACTGTTTCTGCAATTGCCACAGGGGATCAGTATTACAATCCTTCTAGAAAATGTCTATCGATATCCTTGGTTGGATCTACGAAATCAGGAGTCATTTGCGTCATTTGCGAAGGAAATCAAAGAGTACTCCACTGTACCTTGGTTGGTCATTAGTGGTGATGCAATGAATTCGATGTTGAGGACAGTCGATGTCTACACAACGAAGACCAGCGAGGTTACATCATCCGCCCGTTACTTTGACGACGCAGTCAAGGTAATGCATAACTACAGAGGATCCCAATGGCAGGAAGCCAGATCTGAAATGTTTGTAGCGGATATTCAAATATCTTCTCCACCTGGACACTCTGGCTATCCATGGATGGGTAGCCTCGACTGGAGTAAACATTTCACCATGTGGAGTGATTCGATAAAGCTCGGTGGTCAACCAAGCTTTTTGGACGTAATGGGCAAGAACTTGCAGGTCGAAGAAGCTACACTGAAGGGGGGTGATGAAGTGACAAACAGAGTATACCGCCTGCTCGTGGAAGATGTGATTCTAGGGCTTAACCCGTACGAAGGTGACATGGACACCAATAGGTGGAATTTATCGGAGTACAACGGACCGGGCTTGGGATATTACAGATACTTGGGTAAGCTTTTCGGGTACGGACTGGTCGGCAACGCTTTTATTGAAGCGCGAAAGAAGGCGCCAAAAAACGAAATGGAGAGAACACAACTTTGGATCAAGCAGATGTGTATTCACTCGGGCTATAACTTGGTTGCTTTTCATAAAATGTGGAATTTTCCCATGACGGATGAAGCGCAAAGTGTTTGCAAGCGTTTACCCTGTTTCTTCCCAGATGACGAATACACGAAAAACTTTCGGAGCAAAGTTGATGCAGTACTGAATGAGTCTGGAGGGAGTTGTTCTCGCAGAGAGCCAAAAAAGGCGGAGTTCCGGGGCGAAATAAAAGCCGGTTTGGATAGGACTCGTCCCCAAAACATTTTTCTAACCTTCCAATGAATAGTCCTCACACATCCGATCTTTATTTCACTATGACTATACGGATACATCATTTGTTGTCATGTCGATATCTTCCTTGGCTGGGGTTGTACTTATAGCTGGATCATCGGTGTCGTTTAGGCGGTTGATTAAGTATCATCTAATGGACCTAAGTTCATGCTCTGAGTTCCCATGTATGTAGAGTTGGCTACACAAATCACGCGAGTAAGTGATCCGATTTTAGCTGAATCAATCAAATTCTAACGTTTATCTAGGTTGTGTGGTTTAGGCGTTGATGAACATCGGAAGCTCAAGGTACTACTGAATTGTGGTATGATCAGGCCTCGCCTGAGCACGAGGTCACTGATCAGACAACCGTTCCCAACTTTTACACGTTGCTAACTACGCTTCTTTGATACATTGGAATTGTAAGGTTGAATACAAAAATCCACATTGCGATCCTGAAAGAGCTGATTTTGTGGTCACTGCGGCAGGCATACATAATCTGCCGGAACTGCACCACGTGCATATTCAATACGAAATATGAATACCACTTTAACCGGCCGGGACAAAGTGCACAATGGAGTAAATTCCCATCCATAAAGAAGGGATGCCGGACACCCTATATAGCTGTTTGGACGCTGTTTCGTGCCAAATTGAACAGATGGCCGCCGGTTGGTTTTTAACTTTTCTGCCACTTGCGTATAAGCCGCTTTCCCTAACACACGAGTACCCCATCTATACGAGGTGATAGGTATGTACTTCGGATAGGTTTGATCTCACTTTTCTACGTACCGTCCCAACAGTATGTGCTCTTGCGGGAGGGCTCCACAACACATCTGTGTCCCTGATGTATGCGGATGTATGACTAGTACACATCCTATTTGCTTTTTCTTCAATACTTTGAGTTCAAAAAGTCAGCAGTGAAAGTTTTCATGTGACCATACCTGATTCTTTGGCGTGAAGTGCTGCAGGGACGCATGGAGTATAAAACCACAAGCAAAAACTGGAGGCAAGATAAAACATTTACACGTTCGACCAGTTCTACAGAGGGGAGAAGCAAGCGACTTCGATTTCTTTGTGGCGAAATGACAGGGGATGAAAAAATACTAAAAAACGATCAGATTCAGCTACTTAATATAATGGTAGGGAGAAAATGGCCTACCAGTGAGAAATTACTCTCATGGAACATGCATCCTCAGTGGGGTTGTTCAGGTTCCTGAGTAAACTGCTTTCAATTGGTCCACTAAAGCAGGATTCAGTAGTAATCCCCGCCCAAAAATAGTTCGAATAATAAACAGCTCTTATTTGGCACCTTCCCATCCATATTTCAGTATAGCAGATGATCTGTCGAGGATTGTCGACAATTTCGTTAACCTGAGTGGCGTTGCGTCCTGCTCTCCACACACAGGCTGTGGATAAATTAGTCTGCAGCATAAGACGATCGTGCTCTGGGTGGGCTGCACTCAGCTAGTCTTAATATTGAAAAGATGTACAGTCGTGTGCAGTCGGTCATTCCGTAGGGTTCGGGAACTTGCCTGCTACTGTTTCTTCCAGTTAACCCAAACAGATCGGATCAGAAACGAGAAGGTACGTCAGGAGACCTTTAGGAAGGTGGATAATGCAAACGCAATAACCAACATGATCGAAAAATTTCCAGCATTCTTAGGAGCATGCGTTCCGTCTAGACAACGCACTGCGGTATCTCGAACATCGTATCAACTGAAACCTGAAGCGGTCTTGTACATCACATTCAGACGAAGATGAACGAGAGACTCAACTGGACTCAGCTTGGTCTTCTGTTAGCAGCAAATTAGTGTGCGGGTGTGTTTCGCGAATAGTGCAAGCGTTACCATATCAACCCAAACTTCACCAAAAGTGCTGGTTGTTTATTTGAAGGAACCTACTCGAATTGTTGAGTGAACTGAATGCCACCTCTTGCGACATTTGTAGTTGCTCATTTCTATCTTGTTCCTCAATGCATCTCGGAAGCCTCGATAGCAGAAGCGACGCTGTAGTCTAAAATGAATATCAACTGGTGACGTAAAGCGAAAAGCAATGCGCAGTAATCCTTAAACTAGTCCACGAAAAAAGTAGCCTATAGGGCATCAGCTTCCACCATAGTTAACACTTCCAATCTCGATTGCGTATCAAAAGTACTACACATGCATTCAGAAACATCATTTCAAGCAAACTCTGACCAAAAATCGATAGGCAAGAGAAGCACATGAAATCCACTTAAGCTTGGATGGTCGACTACTTGTATCTTAACTTCACAGGTGTAATCTATGGTGATTGGCTAGCACATACGCGAAACATACTTATTTCTCGAACTGAAGACTCAACTGAATCTCAGTTGAATTTCTCGTTCGTGATGTTCTTCAAGTAGAACATAAGGCTGACGGAAAAGGGGACTATGCCTGTCTGATGAGCCTCAGGATGGGAGGAACCGGTCGTGCGCTGTCAGAGTTTTCAATAACCTCAGGAGTTGTGTTACGGGTAGTACAGTATTGATGATGTCCACATCGAAAAATCGAAATAACACCAGGACAGGGGAATTCTAGCTTGGCATAGCCATTTTCAGTGTGAAGGTAAGCTCAACGTGTTTCCACTTCCAGGCTGTAAAATTCAAGACCGCTGTTCAGCTAGGTTAACTAGGTTTTGAACAATGTAGGAGCTAGTGATGCGTAGGATCCTGTCCAGAAGCTCATCGTTCGGAACCACCATGCCCTTTGTAATTGATGTGCGTATTTATGAAGACCCTCGCGGAATAGGGGAATGTGATGGTTTGTGCAGCTCTTGCCCAAATCACCTACATTGGGAGTTGTCCGTGAGCTATTCAGTTCCATATCATCCATGAATGGAAGCGAAACTAACACAGTCTCCTGGCCGTCCAGCTTGAGGGTTAGAGCGTCCGGCGAAATGTTCCTTAAAATTCGTACTACCTTGGTAGTCTCACGTCAACCAACGCAATCAGGCTGTTGAGATACACACTTTGGTTTGGAGGCTCACTCGTCTCTGCTGAACGCTGTTATATCTTCACGCCTTCCTGGAGTGTCCAAGTGATTTTACCTGAGCGTGGTTGGAAGCCCTACAGGCCATGGTGCTTAACCACTCCCAGTGGCGAGCTCCTTGTCACTCCTTAGCCGAACTACCTAGCTAACGCTTGTTTATCGTTGTGTGCTGGGCTTTTGTTGGGTGACGTTTGTGAAGGACATTCGGTGAATCCTGCCGATGACGTCTTACTACATCATGATGCTCAGATGTATTTATTGCAGTGGTTTGGGTAGATGTAGGCACCTCGCTCTTGGCCGTTTCGCTAGAAATAAACTTCCAGTCTTCTGCTTTCTCTTCATCTTATTTTCTTCCTCCATGGTTGTGTGGCCGTTACGCGCCATTTTCAAATGTTGGTGTATTGCAGCCCATGATGGGTGTCTCGGAAAATGAACCCATCTGGGTGTGTGGGTGGAGGGTAATGAACCGGAGTGGCACTCAGATGACAAGCCTCACTGATGGCTTGTGACATTCTGTTAAAGCAATATGCAAACACTAATGGTGAGCCTGCATCCATAGGCTGGTAAACCTGTCGTCTCACGTCTCAGCCTCCATAATCCTATCGGGTCACTCTCGACTATATTACTTTCCTGATCCCTTCATTTGGTCAGTCAGTTGCTCACGGATATGTCTCAAAGTTGAAAATACTAGGTGATTGATGGTAAGAACGCCCTTTAGAGGAGAAAAGAGTCGTAAACGGTGATTGAATAAGGAGACTGTTGAAGACATTTGCGAACAGCGTTGTGTACAAAGATGCAGAGGGCTTTGGGTATCACGTAGACACGAACAGTGGGGTTCGACGATAGGTTCCGTTTTACATTGATTACACGGGAGAACAATGGAGTAGGTGTGAAGATCGGAATTTTCGAGATCAATAAAAAAACCCACAATGGAGCAGGACAAAACATGGGAAGAAATGAATAGGGCTATTTGTTCAAAAAACAAAACAAAAACAATATCATAAAGATGTCTGATTGTCGAGCCAGTGAAACAGTAGCCGTGATAGCAAAAGAGCCGATAGGGTGGAAGGGAATGATATTGTACAGAGAGGACACAATCAACTAAAATTAGTAGCCGAAGCAAACAAAAGAATTAGGAAGCACCTTGTTGCTGTGACCTTAGTTCAGGTATCTCACGGAAGGTTGTCCTATTGTATGGGGTCGACAAGATTGGTCCGTAGCAAGATTCGGCGAGAGATGTAGATGAGAGTACCTAGGAGCAGTTGTGCATCGAATCTTCTGAAGGATGACGAGTGAGAGGGGAGCAGTGAAAATCGATTGTGAGGAAGTGAAAGCCCTCGAAAATACAGGAATCATTAAATTGACTGTCACGCGGCTAATACCGGGGATGCAGGGGATAGGCGGGGGGATCAGCACTACCGTGGAAGACACTGAGTGAGCGGTCGCGGTAGACGTGGGCATGATGGTGTAATTCGATCGCACGTAGAAAAGGCAAGCGTGAGAAAACTGAAATAAGAGCAGATGCGGGAGTGTTGCAAGATAGTGTAAGAACACAATGATCAACGCACAGGAACAATGAGAGAAATAAATGAGTCAACTTGGACGGTAGGTTGAGGAATGGACTTCTGAGTAATACATACGATGCATGCATGAAAAGCATGACAGATGTCATCGTTTGGTTATTCTAATGATGAGTTCACTTGCGATGAAAGTGACATAATGAAGTCGATACAGGCACCACTGATACGTATCTAGGGCGGTCTCGTTCTTGTACACGCAGTCACTCTTAGTAGAGGTAGCTACGTAACAAAGTCACCTACTATCCGGATGGTTTGCCTTATGTACAGAAAAAGTTTTGCTTCGTACTACGTCACGAGTCGACAAGAGTACAGGATCACACAGCTCGCCTTGCTAGCCTAGACTTCTATGATGAGACAGAGGGTAAGGAAGGCGTAGAGGTCACTCATCAGATCAAGCGTCACAAACACTCAAACCAGGTGACAATTCCTGTCCCACTTCCACAACCTTAGCCGACAACTTGTACACTACAACTTATCACTCATTTTTGTTCGCTCGGCTACCACTTACGTCACGCGCCATGGACGCTTACGAGCTTCATGTTCGTGCACGCATCAAACACGTAGGGACACTCTCTTTTCACACTGCACACAGTGAATAGGCATACAGCTCGGCCGAACACATACTCGCGCGCGCGCAAGTCCACGGCCAACCATGGAATACATGTAGCGGCCAAACTGCGGAGAAAACACGTCCCCACCGTCGGGAATTTCACCAAGGAACTCTCACAGGCGATAAGTTCCTCTTTTGACTTGCTCCCATTTTGCATTGTATTCATTTTTATACGTGTGGCATCTCACCTTTGTCAACTATACTAAAAACCTTTATTAGTGCATATACCTTCTGACTGGTGTTATGGCCATCATCAGCAGTGCACTAATAAAGGTAATAGTGAACACAGCTCCGCGGTAGTACATTCTGTTCAGCCCGCTGGCATTATTATGGTGATCCATGCGTAGACGGTGGTGTAGACTTGTGACACGACATCGTGTAGCTGAAAGTGAGAACTTACCTGTCTTATTGAGATTTGCCAATCATGAACATTGATAGGTAATCTGTCGGTTGCGCGTCATCGAATGTGTTTGTGGTCTGTACAGATTTGGCGCTGGTCAACAAAAAGACCAGGAGGATAATGGATTTTTGGTTGAAATCGAAAATTTACAGTGGTCACAGTGGGAAGGCGCTTGGGTCGATCGGTTGGACAGATCACCCAGAAGAATCTAGTTTTGCTTTGGAAAAGGCTCGTAACTGATAGGTACTTGGATCATCGTAGAGCCGAAAAAGTGCGCTTCCATTTTCGGGGGGTGAGATTACCGAAACCCATCGATATCCTGACAAGTGTTCGGACTGTTGGAGCTGGGACAATTGCTTGTAGGTCCACAGGTGGTTTAACCGGAGAAGTTGAGTGGCTGCACTGCTGTCCGCCATCAAGTCCACGGTCGCAACGTATGCGGAGTCAAAGCGCATAAGCCCCTGGGCCATACGTGTCTCGTGGGCCCAGGCTCCTGTTGAACCCCGATTTTGTGCATCCAAGAGAGCCTGAGACTGAGCCTCTTCCCATGAAGTAACGAAGCGTATTCGCCATTGGATCAGACATCGAGTTAACCAGATCTCACTACGACCAGAGCCTATCCTATGCACGGTCAAGTTGTAATCACTGGGGCTGTGAATCACCGGGAGCTTTATACCAAGTTCTGTTAATTCCTTCAAAGTTGTGGCCAGCTGGCCCAAACGAGCAAGAGACTGGACGAACAGTGACTTTCCAGAGAAATCGTCAAGTTCCGTCCACCAGTCTAACAGACGCGAACCCGAAATCAAGATCGCTGGAAGTTTAACGGAGGTGAAGACATCGGCATGAGGAAGGTCGGAGGTAGTGACAGTTCGACTCGGCGCAGCAGGAGTTCCGAAAACTTGAACCTGACCATGGCGGTCGACTTCGAATGTAACCTAAATAAGTGAGCAGGACAAAAGCGAAACATGGTGAAGTAGCTTCTTGCCAACTTTTCATATATCGATCACCAGTTTTTCAGGGTGAACGAATACAGAACCAAACACTTGTATCACCTTTTGAAGAGAGTAAAAGCAAACACAACTTAGCTGCATTCTAAGGATGTGAAGAGGTCACTGAGAACTACATACGAGTCGCAGCGGAGGAGTACTCAGATATCAGACAAACTGGAGCGCATTACCAACTCAAGAACAAGGAAATATCTCTGCGTTGACAGCTGGTAAAATAACGGGATTGATTGGTAATATTTTCCACCAAGCAGGATTTGTAATCGATCAGATGAGAGGGAAGGAACTGACAAACATCGCATAACCCACACAAGTCACTGGTTGACCCTTCTGAGAGGCGCGTGATGTAGCCCGAAAGGACAATTATATATCGCCCACTGGTTAACGGAGGACGCAAAAATGCAAAGGAAAGACCCATCGCAAGAATTGACGAAAAGCCGGACCGGTTAGACAGGATGCGTGGATAGCCTATGAGCCAATCCCGTCTCCAAATCGAGTTTGGGGCTTGTGTTGAGAACGGAACATGTTCATCCTTGGGTAGAAATTCACTTAGTGATTCGACGAAATACGAGATCAAATTGAGAACAAAGGGGAGCAAATCTGCGGGTTAATTCAGAGGAATAAGAATCAGTAACTAACATCATCTTGGGAAAGTATGGACAGAAAATTTTGGGAAGTCAACTATCAAGTACACACTACTAAAATAGCCTGTAGATATGTGATCAGATGGTTTCTTATTGGGCACGAAAGATGAGCGAAGTCCATGAACTAATTGGCTGACTAAGACGAAAGGACAGAGACGTATCTCGCAGGTTTGCTGGAGTAAACGAGTGGCACATATTGATGAGTCATCTGTTAGTCTCGGACAAACGACACAATGATAGTACAGTAAGGATGACCACTCGGTACGATCACTATTCATGCCAGCGGACCGTAAACAATCCACTCGGAAAAACAGGGCAATGAGCTACGTGAATGGAGACAGTTGTGCCACCTTTGATGAAAGCTTTTTAACGTTGGTGACCAAAGTCTGTGCTTATTGAAGGGGACATCTGATTAGAATGGTGTCCCTGAAAGAAAGATTCCCACTATAAATGGTTGCCTAAGCGAGTCACGACACCGAGGTTAGGAACAAGGACAATCATTCCTTAACATATACAGTTGAGAGTTTAACGAGATCAAAGAGTACACCCAAGGGGAACAGACATTCCCTGGAAGTTGCTGCATTGGTTACAGAAAGGATATCAACCAAACGGGTTTGAATGATTCTGAAGACGTTTTAGTTGTGAACCGGAAACCGAGTATCAAAGCTAAGGTCGTTGCCTTGGGTACAGTTTCGTACCACGAATATAGCGACGATGACAGGGAAACGGCTCGGCAGCCTGACCAAGTCGGTTGAATTGAACAGGAACAGTGGTTATCGAATGGAGTGGGGAATAGGACAACTTTACAATGAGGGCGATCATTTTGATGCATGGTGCCAAACGCTATACGAAAGGGTCATTTTAGTTAGTGTAACCAGCCATCAGCATATCTCATTCCGGAGTCCCCTTCCTGAAAAATGATAGCTTCCAACGTAAGTGAAACTGCTGGCTAAGAATTTCATTTTTCGTTGTGGAGTCATAGGTAATGTCTACCCTATACATGGCTAAACGAAAAGAGTGTTGCCGGGCAGTCGGTTTAAGGGCCATAACACATGGAATACTACTATCTTGTCTATCGAGGGAGGGTCGCTTTTATCGAAAACGGTTTGTAGCATGATGACCGAAAATGGCTTTTCCTCTAATTATTCTTGTTTCACCAAACTTGTCTAGACAATGAAAACGCGGGGTTAGCTAGTGTATTGATCATCCTGTCGGATGACAGTAAACGGGAGGACTGAGCAATGTTGGCGAATAATCGAACTTTTTCAAAGCACACATCGTTTCTGGCTGAATCTAAGTTGAATCGATCAAACAGTATGTTGAACCGTCGATATAACGAAGCCGAACAGATCTACGGAGTGAAAGCGAGGTTTCTCTTTGTCTGTTACCATACTCCCCAAACATTGTTTTGACGACTACGGCTTTACTACGTGCTGAGTAAAAAACACAAACGGCTTCTATGAAAAAATTTCCAAATTTGTGCCCAAAAGCTCGCTGTCTATCAGATCATCTTTGTAGATAGGAAATTGTTAGAAAGAGCCTCGTGATTGTTTATCAGTAGTTGGGATGATTTCCTTGAATGGGGTGAAACAAATGAGGGCACAAACGTGTTTTGTTACGTTGGGTTTTGATGGTGGCAAGAGCGTTTCTAGTTGGAGTGACAGACAGCGATGGTCCTTAGTGGCACTGGTTGGACAGTATATTTCAGACTGAACTTCATTGAAAGAAAACAGAGAAGGTACACAAACCTCAGGACCGAACATGTCTTGTGATGGAATCAAACGCAACCAATCGTTGGCGACGACGTAACCAGTCAAAAATGCGGGAAGGCCATTTGCCTCTAATCCACCCGGTGTCAGTTGACTGGGCTGAGTCACAGTCAATCGCTGCAACTTCTGATTCAACAACTCCGAACCACAATCACGATAGAACATCGTGTCAAGACGGCCGGTTAGATCGAAGGAGGCTGGAACCTGAGGAAGCTCCCATTCTAGTCGATCGTTGCGACTGATCGTTCCAGTACAAGTGTCAAGCTGTGGAAGAATTGTGTTCACATCTAGCCCGGATTGTTTGAGCCACCAGGCGGGAGACCGAATGGCATTAACCAAGCGGTCTGACATCCCAGCGGGTCCGATGCCCAAACTTAGCTGTTCCACTGTACCCCATTTGTGGGTGTCCAAAACCGATGGATCTCGGTAGACAGTAGACAGTCGTGTGCTAAGTAGTCCACGCCAGTCGGGACTTGTGTAGGTTGCACCGAGCGGGTCGTAAGCACGCATAGTTGCCGGACAGAAGACGAATCCAGTGTGTCCATCCACAAGACAGCCAGCATATCCGATGGGAACATTGGCATCTTCTAGGATGGAATTGGTGAGAAACTTGTTTCTGTTCGGTTGCGTGAGACGACGTGCACCGGTGGCAGAGTATTCCGCGGTCCATGTGGTCTGTGGAAGAAAGAGATAGGATCCAACTTTGTTGCAAACACTTACCGACTGACGAAAATTGAATGAGAGTGATCAAATTGAATTTAATTGAGACAGTTTTTCTGACAATGGTGGTCGAACAATATAGGAGTTACCCACCACTACTAGATGACTAAAAACTGCTCCTCCTAGTTTATAATATAGATTTGGTGCTTTGGAATTGAGCACACAAGTACTGACCGAAACAGACTCATCAATGAATACCCGACTACAACTAGTTGTGATGGTTATTGAAGAGGTTCCATATGAGCGTCAGTTTAGCGTTCGTCGTAGAATGGGCGTCTAGCTTCCAGGTAATCAATGGCTCTTATAAGATGCACACCGACGATCATTATCAGCAAGGATTACACACCTGTGCAGCGCTCATCGGCTTTTGCCACAAACTGACTCCGTTTACAACAAGACAGATATGTCGATTCAAGATTTTATTCTTCCTTGAACTGAGGTGGATTTTGACCAGTTTCATCGCTTTACGAAATACTAGGACTTCCTTTTTGCGGCTCAAGTGGTTAGAGCGCGAATTTACTGACCGGAAGGTCCGTGACTCGAACCCGACCTCTGCCTCTCGACTTCCCTGTCTAGGTTTGGACGACCTGCCAGTATCCCAGCCCTCGTGCCTCCGTGTGGCATGGCAACTAGGCACCTAAAGGGTGCTACAGCTGAACGATTATTTTATTATTATTTCCTTTTTGCAACATATCTACACATACCCGCAGAATCCTGTGAAATACAACGGGAAAACGAAAACTCAGTGGCCGTAGTCATGTCCTGTGATGAAATAAACTCTGCTCACGACGTAAACTGGGCATAGGATGTACGGCAGTCGGAGCTTTCATTATTGAAAAGATGTTGTGAGGGCTAACCTCAATTGAGACCAGTAGCCAATACGAAAACTAGGTAGGGCGTTCGGCACTGCGGTGTTCCTGTGACCGACTGCGTGTGCATCAGAGGAATTGGGGATCACTGTTGTTGAGTTCAGCTCCAGGAGGAGTGCACTATCCGTATAATGTGATGTAACAACACCATCCTCAGAAGCATTAATACGCTGCCTCCTAACTTTCACAAAACCTGAATAAAATGGAACTCAGGTAAGTAGAACCGAGAAAAAACAAGGATGGGATTGAATCCAGGAGACTTTAGACAAAAGGCCGAGCGATAGGCACCCACAAATTGTGAACAGAAATCAATCATGAAAGAAATATCAGCATGCATTTACCTGTCCACTCTCGGAAACCATAGCGACCGGTGATCCCTCATGATTGGTTATTATAAAATAAAGGTGCTTTGGTTTTTGCCGTCTCTGTGATCGGGAGAAAGAAAGCATTTCCGGATCAAAAGGTTCATCTGAGTTTTTGCTATTCCTCGGAGGAATGTCTGTTTGCTGCAACATATCAAATTCTTCTATGGCGATCAAATGTCCCTGAATGGGATCGTAATGGAATCGGAAGGATGCGAGGTCACCATGATTGAAAACATGCGTGAGGCGACTAGGATGTCTCGGATCAGCGTAGAAATATTGCATCAGATCACGAACGATCAAGGTGTCGCGAACTAGCACCAAACGGTCTTGGGCATCATACACATATTGTACACGGAACGCTCGTTTGAAACCGACGTCATCTTCGACAGGAGAGTGGTCGAACGAGGATGAAGCGGAGTCTGCCTGTGTATCCAGATCCAACTTGCGCTCAGCCCAAATTAACAAACCTTTGCTGTTATAAGCAAATCTATCAACAAGATAGTCATTATGTAGACGGCGCTCTGTTAGAAATCCATCTTCATCAAATACAAATTCCCAATTTCCACGGCGCTTCAGCAACCCTCTCGCGTCGTAAATGAACTGCAGCTCTTCAGAACGGCTGGTCGAACCTGACCCTATCCGACCTCCAGCCAATTGTGGATCGGACATGGAGATCCGAAGTCGTGCAACGCGTCCTTCAGCATTGTGCATTAGTTCAGTGTGCGAACTTAGACTTGAACCAGCTTCCTCGCGTTCGACTGTCTTCAAAAGGCCGCCTGACGTATGGGTTAAAGTTATCCAACGTGGAACATGGCCCCGTTGTTCCTCGCGTTGAACAACATCCATGGAATTGGGACGAAACAGGAGCGACAGATTGTACAGTGGATCACGGCGGGACGATAACTGGAAACAAACGAAACAAATAAAGGCGAATATATTAGGTATACGTTAGCATCACTTCACAACGACCATCGGACGATCGGTGGAAAATGGTCACTGTGGAGAGCGAACGCTGTGATGGATGTCGTTGAGGATGCTAACTGTATAAAGACTTTGGAGAAGTACAATGTGAAACGTTGCCCAAATCTTCCAGACAGAAGCAAGTTAAATAAATAGAGAATTTGGAAGCGGACTTACGGGATAAAGGACCACCTGTCGTAATCGTCCCTGGTCGTCCAGATGCCGATAAAGTTGCAAGCTTTTAGGGGCATACGTGATATAAAGAGCAGATGGTCGCTGAACTATATCCAGATCGCAAATGCTTAGGACTTGTCCTGCAACTGGGTCATATTTGATCAAAGTTTCTTCGTCCAATATCAACCGCACTGTACGAACTGTCTCGAGCACGCCATCCTTACCCTCTCCCGATACTGAGCTGTACAGTTGTGTGTGTAGTCCGACCAGCTATAGATGGGAGATTAGTGCAGGTGATCAAACAAGGTCTATCAGAGAAATGTCCGGACAGCAACAAACAATCATAGATGCATATAGGCACATACAGAGAACACCCATTTTAATCCTTATGAGATAGGAGACGAGAAAACGGAAGCGATGCCAAACGTAAGAAGGAGCTCATAACATGGCATCTTTTTCAATGAAATTCGAGTCGAGATTGTAGCTAGACCAGCCCGTTCGTTCACTGAACACATTCACCTTGAAGCTGCTCCTAAAAACTCGTAATCATGGTACAAAATCCAACAAGAAAATTGTAGCTTTCTTTAAAAGATAGGTCCACGTAGTGGATCACGAAGTATTAGTGGGCATCAGTGGTCGACAAAGGTGGCATAAGTACACAAGAACCAATATTCGAAACTAGAAGTCACTGTTGCAATTCGGATGGATAAAACTGCTATCAATAGTCAGTATGTACGGTGCAGTGTTTCGATCTGTACTGGATTAGGAGAACAAAAACATGTTCAAAAGCACGTGAAACGATATGGCTATTCCCATTTCCTAAGGGTCAATAAATGTGGGGGATTTTTTGGCGAAACTTGGTTTTCAAGCCAATGTTTTGTAAACTATCCCACACTCATGAAGTGGGCCTATTGGTTGCCTTATGTGCCCGTGGAATAAACGTCCTACTTTGAATGCTCCAGTAGGTGATTATACACTAGCCTTACATCAGAAAACGACGTTGTCCTTGGCGTGCTTCGCGGTGAGATGAGATAAACGTGGTTTCCATGGGAATTTGTTCCATCTCTCACGTAAACTTACGTTCATATTTGAATTGTACGAGTAGACAAATCGGGCATTGAACAAGCCACCTAAATCAGGATGTGCTGTTCTCGCTCCAGGAATACTTTGTTGCAGGCGAACGGTGTGAATCAGTGGTCCGCGATATGTACGCCAAACGGTCAATCGATAACCGGCCATGACATCGATGAGCTGGAGATGGGGTGCAGCAGTCAGCTGTTTCAACTGTGGCCCTGGTTCTTCCATTGTCGCCGAATCCCACTTGACGGTTGTCTTGTCAAACACGATTTGTTGCTCACGAGGAAAATGTTGTATGCGTCGATACCCACTGGGCCATATGAACCGTAGCAAGGCAGAGCTGATCGGATCGTCTGGGGTCGAGACAGACCACAGCAGATCTGTACCCCATTCAAATATCCAAGGGTTGGGACATCCAGGCCAGGGTTTGTACCTCAGCTGCTGTACACCCAAGGCGGAGATTCGTGAAAACTCACGAATAAGACCAGATGGAGTGAGGACTCCAGAAGCCATACTGGATGAGGAGATCGAACTGGATGCGATGTCACGATAGTTGTCTTGCAATGCATCCCGTCCCCGAGGTGGTTCGGCATAGAACAGTCGAAATTCACCTAGACCATTCATTGAAATCACTGAAGGCTGGAGAGTGAAACAGTAAAGTTAAAATCAGTTAAAAGCAGAGTGCGGTAATAGAAAAAACGTGAATATAGAGGCTCTCAACTACTTGGTTGCTGGTTCTTGACGGATTACACAAAAAATTGATTGAATCTGAAGACTAAACAAACGCAAGACCACTGCGATGCCCCAAAGTGGGTTCCGATCCAGCTCAGGGAGTAGATTAGGTCCTTTAGAAAGTGAACCATTCGTTCAACCACATAGATAACCGATTGGTCGCGATTCATACGCTAAGATTTTAACAAACTTATGCACATCAACTACCTGTTGTCTCTTCATTAGTTGCATCATGTAGGCTAAGATGTTGGAAAGGCTCCAAAACAGTGAACTAGCATCGTCAAATGATTCCGGTATCCTCTTTTTTATGATTAAAAGTTATAAATAATCCATCAATGAGACCTCGATGATTAGGCCAACAGCAAAACCCAAAACCGATGGGCAAGTGATGGTCGGTGTTCGAAATATGGTCCATTTTGTGGGTGAGCAGCCTCGTTCCAGTGCCCATCTGGAACACAGATTGGTCATCAAACGGGTGCACAACGGCATGGCGTACAGAAATAGATCATCCGGAAACAAATAACTGTTGGCCCGGTAGTTGATTGAGTGACCGTTGATCTCTTCGTCGAGCCTGGCAAGTGGCTTGCACACGTTTCGTCATCAATTAATAAGACATCATCAGCATGCGGTCGTATGGGTACTTAATCCCTACCCGAATGGGTATATACAGCTTACAACGACTATCTGTTATCTGTGATGTGATGAGTTAATTGAAAGGCACTACGCGCCCAATCTCATGGGGTCTGCAGTCCTTACACTCGGTTGGTGAGTAGATTCTTTTCGAGGATTTTCGCTGCATCGTGCTCTGCCTTTCTCGAACCTTTTTGGTTTTTGTGACGGTTTCTACTGCTCATGGTTTTCTCTCCTTGAGTTGATTGGTCGACTCACAATTTAAATTGCTCTGCGGTCCATTTCCTTAAGTTTGCTTGGTTGGTTACGGTCCCCTGTTTTATATAGTCATATTCTCCGCATTTGATCGGTTATTCAGATGTCTTTCTTTGTTGAGGCGTTCTTCATTATTTGTCCGCTTGCTCCTCTACGTGTCTCCTCTGGTTTCTTGTAGTTGCGCAGTTCTCTTGTTTTTAGCAATTGATAATTCGGGTCGGTTTCAACAGGTTTGTTGATGACTTTTTCGGCTTCTATGAATTGGCATCGTTTCTCTACTCTTGTTTAATTTAGTATGTGGATGTTGTTTTAGTCGAATTCGTGTCCATCCTAATGTTCGAGCGCAGAGACAAGTTTTCAGCAGCAGTGCAGCCTGATTAAGGGCTTCCTTCTTGTCGGTCTCATGTAAAGTTTGTCGCACGCTTCACCTGGATCTTTAGTGTGACGTTGGTTCCCGTCATTGAATCAGATTTCCCTTCAGTTTTTGACAGTGCACTTTGCAATGTGTTCGCCGGTTGGTAGGTCATCGTTGAATCATGCTGTCGTAACTGTCTTGCAATCAATTCCGAAAGGATTTCGACTCAATTTGAAGAGAGATTCGGGATCTTTGTGTTTCCGTTTTTTGACTGAGCGGAGTTGGGCTGTCTGAGGGTTCGGTAAATAAATCCTCTCGGGCATCCATTTCTTTGAAAAAAATAGATTTTGGGCTCCGCAGCGTTACGGTGTGTCGAAATCCGTCTGAAAATTGTCCCGACCAGTTTTGTTTGTGGCAGTTTGGGTGATTGTTGTGGTACCTGAGGGTTAAGTCAATATGCCTTACCCTTCTGCAAGCCAGTTTGCAATATTGTGACGCGGAAATATAAGAATATCAGCTTTCCATCATTTTATTCTTCCATTGTGAATCGTATGTCGACGAAAACGCTGATTTTCAGTTGGCTCGTTTGCTGTAGTTCAGTTCACCTGATAATTACGAAAGTATTGGCCAAGCACCGGATGGGGAGCTTAAGCTTGGTTACGGTCCCCTGTTTTATATAGTCATATTCTCCGCATTTGATCGGTTATTCAGATGTCTTTCTTTGTTGAGGCGTTCTTCATTATTTGTCCGCTTGCTCCTCTACGTGTCTCCTCTGGTTTCTTGTAGTTGCGCAGTTCTCTTGTTTTTAGCAATTGATAATTCGGGTCGGTTTCAACAGGTTTGTTGATGACTTTTTCGGCTTCTATGAATTGGCATCGTTTCTCTACTCTTGTTTAATTTAGTATGTGGATGTTGTTTTAGTCGAATTCGTGTCCATCCTAATGTTCGAGCGCAGAGACAAGTTTTCAGCAGCAGTGCAGCCTGATTAAGGGCTTCCTTCTTGTCGGTCTCATGTAAAGTTTGTCGCACGCTTCACCTGGATCTTTAGTGTGACGTTGGTTCCCGTCATTGAATCAGATTTCCCTTCAGTTTTTGACAGTGCACTTTGCAATGTGTTCGCCGGTTGGTAGGTCATCGTTGAATCATGCTGTCGTAACTGTCTTGCAATCAATTCCGAAAGGATTTCGACTCAATTTGAAGAGAGATTCGGGATCTTTGTGTTTCCGTTTTTTGACTGAGCGGAGTTGGGCTGTCTGAGGGTTCGGTAAATAAATCCTCTCGGGCATCCATTTCTTTGAAAAAAATAGATTTTGGGCTCCGCAGCGTTACGGTGTGTCGAAATCCGTCTGAAAATTGTCCCGACCAGTTTTGTTTGTGGCAGTTTGGGTGATTGTTGTGGTACCTGAGGGTTAAGTCAATATGCCTTACCCTTCTGCAAGCCAGTTTGCAATATTGTGACGCGGAAATATAAGAATATCAGCTTTCCATCATTTTATTCTTCCATTGTGAATCGTATGTCGACGAAAACGCTGATTTTCAGTTGGCTCGTTTGCTGTAGTTCAGTTCACCTGATAATTACGAAAGTATTGGCCAAGCACCGGATGGGGAGCTTAAGCGATTAGAGCACGAATTTACTGATCGGAAGGTCCGTGGTTCGAACTCGACATCTGTCTCTCGACTTCCCTGTCTAGGTTTGGGTAATCTGGCAGTATCCCAGCCCTCATGTTTCCTTCGGGTGGCAAGACAGCTAGGCACTGAAAGGGTGTTGCAACCGAATGGTTATTTATTCTCATTGAATCCATGTTTTGGCATTTATATCTGCCAGCACAACCCATTCGGGCTTATGCACTGCTATTTCTATCAAAAATTCTAAAATTTGAAATCCAATCGGTGCTCCCTGAAGTTGTCCAAACTACACTTCATTGGATTCGAAAAATATTTTCAGACACGAGTTTAGCAGTTCAAGGCGGTCTTTTTCCACGAAGCAATTTGATAAGTCGTGGCTAGTCCTGTTGGTGGAGCTGAGGTCTATAACAGAAGTACCGTTCAGCAGTAGCGCTCTCTCTATAGCTGCCTAGCTGTGATGCTAGTCAAATTAAGCAAGACGGCTGAGATACTACCATGCTGTCCTAGCCTAAACAACGGCAGTCGAGATGTCGGGGTTGGGTTCGAACCACGGACCCTCCAGTAGGCGAGTTTACGCCTTAACCACTGAGCTATCTCATAGGCTGATTTCCATAGATCTGAACAACAAGAGACCACCATTTCATCCTCTCCGATGTTTTTTCATTCATCAATCTTTCCATTAAATTGTCTTGTTATGTTGAGCGAATATTGAGATGTGTCTCATCTTCATCCACACTCCCTTTGAAAGATCGTAGATTGGTGTCTCTGAGAGTGGTACGGTTGGTGTTGCTTATTTATATACTTTCGGTAGTCGGTATAGCTCAGTCTTGAGCTCTTCTTATTCAATATTCTTCTGAGATCCTTTACAGGTCTTGGAGTTTTTTTTGGTTCTTACAGATTTCGTTCGCCAGTTTTTCGCCTTGATGTTCCTTCAGGTGATTATGAATAGTCGTGTCATTGAGTAGACCTTTTGCCTTATTGATATAGGCCGGTTTGTCCACGATGACCCCCGGGCGTTTTCATTGCTTCTCTTACTGCTCAAGAGAGACTCGAATGTTCTGTTGCGCGCGATTGCTGGGACGATGGACTGTCAGAGTTGCTGTCGAGTGTCCTGACTAGGTCCGATGACCACATTGGCGCTTCCGGCTAGCTAATTACTTTCGATTCGTGATATCTTCAAAGTTTAAATCGGGACGTAACACACTAATCATAAGGTTGTTTAAAGCACTTCTCCCGTGAAGACCAAACTGATATGCGAATGAGTGTACTTGTTAAAACTGAGACCTCTTTCTAACACGTTCTGTTTTATTTTTGTAAGCTGTCCGCTAGTTTGGTTGTTTATCCATGCATTGTAATTGTTTTCCTTTTGGTTCCCAAGCCGCCTAGAAAATTGGTTTAGCAGACAAGACTTCTTGCGTTCAACAATAGTAACCTGATTTCCTAGATGAAAATCACCCTTGCCCGAGAACTGATTTCACGTCCAGTGAACAAAAATATGTTACCCATACACCCAGAAAGATTGTATGTTCAGGCATTAGCCAATCGAACTAGACGAAGGATAGTCTTGACAGATGAGTGCCCTCCACAGGAAATGTACCAGAATAACTAGTTCAGCTCACAAAAGTCAGACACACCTGATACGGAAGTTGACGGTCAGTGTATCGAAAGGATATTGTATCCATGTGATTGCCCAACTCGGCCATCTTCAACCTGTTCATGGAGTCGTAGCTGAACTGGTAGTTGGCGTTGACCCAACTCACGGTACTCACCTGGCCGTTACTGAAAAGAAGAAAATCACGAAGGCATCGTTTGGAGACACTGGAACTGTACTGTAGATAGAAAGGTGTACTACAAGTGCACAATAGTGATAACAGTGACAATCACTAGTAGTAGACTAATAAACCAAATTAGTACCCTCTTCGCAATCCGTTTGTGTAGAGGTTATTCCCATCAGTACCATTGTAAGATGTAGGAGCTATCCCTTTTAACGAATGTTAGAAACATCTGAAACGAGACTGACTGTCACCCAAGTGACGAAGATGTCAGTTATTGGAACTTCGTGTAATAAGCTCGCGTGATCGCCATCAGCAATTGGTTTCATGTAAAATCCAGGTAAAGCGTTTCTCTAGAATTCCAGAATTCGACAAGGCATCCCAAAAGTCACCTGTTCTGTGTTAGTGAACAGTTTTGAGTCTATTTACAGTCGGTCGATACAGACACACAGATAAAAGTCACGATATCAGATTTCCAAACATCTGAATAACAAACCTGTCTGTAATAGACGTGATTATCGGGAAGAATTAAAGTCGACGTGCGAGTGATGACCTTAGACTTTTGATGAGGAAGGGTTGCATCTGAATGATGTCTGGAGGGGATTTCTTTGTAGTTGGCAACCTCTCAGAATATACCAAAGACAAGCAAAAACCGCATGGTACCGTATTAGTCTTGATTAGGGAAAGGCTTATCTAGAGGGACATCGAACTTTTCTTAGTTTTTTATATATTCATTTCACAGGGTAGTAAATTATAAATTATAGTAAAGTATAGTAAAATAATAAATTATAGTAAATTATAAAAACCACAGCTGAGGACCTCACGTGATCCGTAAGACGTACCTGGTGTAAGCTACACCGAGAGGAGCCGGGCCGGAAAGGCTGGGATCAGGTCGGATATCATCCCGATCGTCTCGATCAGTAATGCGAAAGTCGCGCCGACGCGAATCTTGCCAACTGACAGTTGTGGAGGCGTTGAAATTCATTGGTTGGAAATTATCATTGTAAACCACTTGGAGTAAAACGCGCCCGGTGGACGCATGGTGGTATGTTTCCAACTGACGTGCCCAATCAAATTTGACGTATATGACATCATGCCCGTTGACCTATTGACGAGACCAGAGGTGAAAACAGTGTGAATTTTATGGAACAGGTGCCCTTGAAACAATACCATTGTCAACAGGACCGTCACCACGCCCAACGCGTACGGATGAAGGCACAGTAATAGGTGCCAGGTTGCGAATGGAATAACTCGGGAACAGAATACCAAATTCTAAAAGTACCGGATATCGTGCATCCGAAAACAATCAAGTGCAAAACGTGGGTGGTGGTATATGGGAAAAAGTGCCACAGCTGTTCCTCGGTGTTCTGCTGAGTCAAATTGGCATTAGGTTACCGATTCATGAGTGGGCAGCGACATCGGGCTATCCTTCCTGCTGTCAGCGATTGACACACCTGACCAGTCAGCGGAATTGGCGTATAGACTAAGACAAGCCAAACGCACGTTTGACAGCCGACAACGGTCGATGAGTAAGCCGAATGAGTAATACACTGTTACTAGCCAAAAATCGTACCCAAAGGTCAGGCAAACAAGAATTCAAGAAAAGCATGCGGGGGTTTCGGGTGATACAGAAATGGCGTGAATCGCGTCTTTCGAATATCCAGAAAATACTTTAGTAAGGGTGTTTGGTTTTATAAGTGAATAGGATTTACCTAAGATAGGGGTGAAGATGGAACAGTGGGGCGCTAGACCAACACAAGGAAGGTCAAAATTCAATGTTACGGGACTTGTCCTTTTACAGGCACTGAGTTTCGTGGACCCTTTAGACTTAATGGCAAAAATAAGGAACAGAGTAGGTCCTCACTCTGACGACTTCTACTGTGGTATCATCGCAAGCAGGAAACTAATGAATGTTAAGGCACTCGTCCGTTGCTACTTTCGAACTGCGAACATCTCGGTCTGAGCCACTTGCTTTTGAACACATAGAGAAGGCTTTGATCGATTTACTGCAGTGACCTCACTAGACTTTAGGGGACGTGACTTTCGACGGTATAGTTACGGAGTACAGAGGCGGGATCAGCTTGATGGCCTGTGAAGATATGTCTGGCTATAGGTGACTGTGGTGTTTTCATGTCAATTCCAGTCGCACTGTATGTCCACTTTAATGGTGAGCTAAGCGTTGCGCTCCTATTGTTACTGTATCATCCCTTTTGAAAAGGATGTGTGTGCTTTCTGGATTTAATTCTCTCGTTACTGTCCCATTGAAACGCGAGGGATAGCCATTTCGACAAAACACTAGTTAGTGCGTTGAAAATTCTTGGACAGCCGTTCTTGGGGCTCGTCAAATAGACGCATTTCCCGGATTTAGGTCAATTTCAGTTCTTATCTGAATGCTAATTTTACGCAAATGGAGATACACTTATTTGCGACTAAGCTTCGTGTTGACGGGATATTCAGGTGACAACTAGCTGAATCTCAAATCGTTTGTAATAATATTCGCAATAAGTTTGTGAGCACTTCCAGATTCCGGGTGACGCACTCCTGTGAAGGAATCCGACATGTTCTTGTGAACGTTGTTTTTGCCATGTTCCACCCGTACTAGAGCTGAACTGACCGTGAAGGTTTCTTGTAAATATTACGTATAACGGTCCCCAGTTGTATCAAGATGTCCAAGCATGACAAAGAGTTATTAGCTTTCTACCCGTGTGTTACCAAATTTAAGTGAAGACTGTTCATACTTTGAACGAACTGCCGCACGTGTTTCACATGCTTGGCTATCACCAAATTGTCATCTACGCAGAGCTGATTGAAGGCGAAACTCCGAATTCACTCCGTCAACTGCGTCTCTCGATTCTTCATCTTGAGTAATCGGTTAAAACTGCACCCAGTGAGCATCGCTACGCTGTTAGTTTGTTGCTAAGCTGACGTGGACCGCAGTTGATGTGGTCACGTGGTGAGATCAATTCGCGGGTTGATCTGCCGCTAGGGCGCTGATACAAGACTGGGAAAACTCGCACCATTAGCACTTGCGTTTAACGACTGATTGAGCCGATGGGTGCATTTGTGTGTCCCCGAAGGTGAATCAGCTAAACCGCGTCTTTATTTACCTTACAATACAACCCCACAACATCACCAACTGTCAAGAAATTGTGGATTCAGTTCAGTAGGTAAGAGGATTCGCAAGCGACAACCGCGGTGCAATAAGGTGCGTGGATGATACAGTTGCAATGATTGGACCTGACAACAACCACGCGCCGGGAAGACAAAAACGGAGAGAACGCACCACTTGGTAAGCTTAGTTTAGGGTGGGGAAGCACAACTAGTGGATAGGAAACGATGGTAATCGTTTTTTTTTAAATGATCTGTGCGGCAGACGGAACCCAACCAATGGGAAATGGGAGCAAGGTGGTGAACACAAAGGATGGAGACGGGAAAAGTAACTGATCCGCGCAGTGTCCACTGGTTCAGTGCAAGCTTTTCCACTAAAGCGCACAAAAGAAACGTGAAGACGATTGGCAGAACAACGGCGTGAACTCGTAAGCCCACACATCACACAAGAAGGCAGAACATAAGCACAAGGGATATACAATTGACCAAAACAGACGAAATAACGGAACCGATGGCACACAATCTGTAACAAGGAGGAAGTGAACGCAAACGAAGGATGTGTAAGGATAAGTTAGATGTGTCCGGACAAGGCCATGATTTGCTACTGCAACAAAGATAAACGGGTAGAAGTACTGGCGAGAGAACAGTCTGGCCGATGAATTCTCACAATGTGTGGGAATCAGGTTAACAAGGGTAAACAAACCCAACAGTTTTCCGACATCTGTTGTCTCAGTTCTGCTGCTGACAGCCAACCAATTTATTTCAGTCCGGTGAAGGAGCGAAACAGTACACACCTAGGTCGATGGATGACATGACAACAAAGTCGAAAATTCGCACACGCATGCAACGCTCACGTATCCCACACCCCACCGCCGGTCAACAGCGGTGCAGGAGGGGCGAAGCGTATATTTAAGAGGCCGCTAAGCGAAACAAGCCGTTTCTTGAGCATATACTGTGATGATACCTCGCACCAGGTGAAAATCTCTATAAAGGACCAACACTACATATCAAAACTACGTCATACACAGGATGCGTCAGAAAAACATCTCACTCTAGACGGAACATCACAGTTTTCATCACATTTTTTGTCGAAAAGCAGGCGCGAAGCAACTTCAACTCGATAGTCCAACTGTGACTGCTACATACCTATCAGCTGACTGAATGAAGGGGTAGTTACGTGAAAGGTACTAAGACAGTTGTAGAGTCTGGATGTCATTGCACATGAGGTAGAAGCGAAGTGGCCGCGGCTCGGGTCGTTAAAAACCTCGAATGATGGCTGAAACACCTACAGAATCCCATACTGAGCCAAATGAGTTGGCTGGTAAAATACAGGATGGTTTTGGTTGGCGTCAGCTTATCAACGCCAAAATACGACTAGACTTTCCCCTGCACTGGTTCGCTACATTCCCCGTTTATGTAAAGCATTAGTAGTAGGCAACAAAGCTTCCTCACTTGCCTGGGGAGCTAAAACTTCGAACTCCCAATTTTCAGCATTCTCAGCACAAAAATGGCATTCGTGATTCGTGTAACATGAATGTGCGTGGCATCCAGACCAATCCATAGTGTGTGCATATCCATTCGAAATTCGATCAATCATGAACCCACATGGTTTCACGCAGACTAAATTTATGCATAAACCGCACTGGATATAGGTTGCTGACATCCATTATGGCATTCAACAGATAGAGTACATCACACACTCCAAAAAGCTGACTTTAATTAACGGTTCAGAAAACTCATCGGAGTCTCTAGACTCAGGAAGTTCATCAGAATAAATCCAGCAATTCCAACAGAAGTATGCATATTTTTCGCCTAACTACTAGTGTAATGGTGATACTACTGATGGGGAGGCACGCGAGTAGTATGTGTTGTTCATGGAATTTCGCTTTGCGTCTTTTGAAAAGGGGAGATCTGTTGCGGAATTCGTGGAATCACTTCGTGACATTTGCTTGGATTTGAGCGAGGAATTATTGGAGTCAATGAATCTCCAGTTTTTGTAAATAAGATGCAAATTAGAGTTTTGCTTCCCTGTCCAATAGTCTGTAACTGGTCAGTTGACACTTCCTTATTAATAACTCCGCAGCGAAGGCCTTCTTCCTTTCACTTGTAGACGGTTCGGACTGGTCGGCTGCGCGGCAAAACCTGTTTCAACATGAAGTTCTTTAGTGATATCTGGCTTTCTTGTCACTGCATGTTACTGCATCGAGCTAAGTCAAGATAATTCCTGCTTTACCTAGTGACGTGGTCGATTTTCCCCGGTTCGGACTGGTCGGCTGCGCGGCAAAAACTGTTTCAATATGAAGTTATTTAGTGATATTTGGCTTTCTTGTCACTGCATGTTACTGTATCGAGCTAAGTCAAGATAATTCCCGCTTCACCTGGTGACGTGGTCGACTTTCCGGTACCTTTAGGTTATTGGGGGTTTTGAATGAAGGTAACAGTAGGGACGTATTATTGGATGAAAGCAGAATACTGATGAAATTCAGGCACGACCTACTACAATCTGTTATGACTGCGATAGAAGGTGGGAATTTTTGTCTCCAAACTGCAACCGTTGAGAGCACAAAAAGTGTGACAAAACTAAGTATACCGGAGCAATGACTCAGTTGCTATGGGGTGTCAGTGCTCACGGCTCTGGCGAAAGTGCAGAGTAGGAGGCCAAAGTCGCCCTCTGAAGAGTTTTTGAGAGTAGCGATGATGAGAAATGATTAGTACTGATTGTTTGGGAAGATAAGAGAGAACTAAGATGTTCCGTCAAACACATCTATGTTTACACACAGTCGAGAGGTTATAGCACTCTCTTCAGTATCCACTCCATGGATTGGCCGTTTCCTACCAGATCCGTAAGTGGACCATGTAGTGTTTACTGACTGGTTGTTTGGTGCCGCCATGAGGTCACTTGTTGAGAATTCATCTTTATGTGTATAGAGCTTCCCTTGACTTGAGCTGAGAATTACCGGAGTTCTTTTGACTCTCTTCTGGGAGACTGGACTTGACAAGCGTTTGGATTATTTAAGATGGGCAAGGTGGGTGCATAAGTAGAGTCTGAAAACTATTTATCTGGGTATTGATCTGAAGAAACTCACAGGCTCACATCGATGATTATCTGGCTAAATATATGCACACTTAACTGGGTTCTCCTTCGGCCAGCACTTCACTAGCCGATGACGAATAGAGCTTAGGCTGATTTTTTGTAGAGTTAAGGCCCAGTTACAAATGAAGGTGGCGCTGTGTAGGGATTCGTGAATCTCTCGTCTACGATCGTTAAGGGATAAACATGACTTGGCACATGATGTGGCATTCCTAAAACCAACTCTATTTAAGACTTCGCTAAACACCTCTTGTGGATGTGAACAGTTTTCTTCGGTACGGCAGCGGAGCTAGAAAGGTGGGTACAAAACTAGAATCTTTCGTTAACTATTCAGCAATCTCCACAATGGATTATGCGGCAAAAATGATAGGAAGAATACTCACCACTAGCTTTTTCTGGTATTGCCACTCGAACCTCGCACCAGAGTCTGATTTGAAACCAGAAAGTGCCAATGTGCCCGTGGGATGAGAAAAGGATGTTTGGCGTCGGGCCAGATGCCTAGCACCTACCGTTAATGAACGTGAAACACGCCGTCCTAGCGCTTGTGTGGCGAGTTCCTCAGAAAGGGTTGCTTGGCGAATGAACCGTCGAGATTCTGATGGGGTCCCTTGTGAATTTAAGGCGAAAGTCCATACGACCCTATGTACGGGAGGGAAATAGGTGGGCGCGGTATCGATAAAAAAATAAGAGGTGTATGTTTTCAAGTGGCTGAGGGAAATCACATACAGCTCTGGTAGCTGAGTATGCAAAACTCGTTCACATCAGGGCTAACTGAGAAGTATCACCTTAGTGCTCTAAAAGGAGAGCCAAACGCGGAGGATCCAACTGATCACCCCTTGACCTGCAACTAGATCACACATTCAACTTAAGCCATCCTCTTCCTAAGTGCTCTAGTTTTAGCGTGAGAAATCAGGTCTAGACACAACAGAAAGGCAGAACTGACTACTCTTCGAATTCGTCCGTTTTACCAAGGTCGCTTCACAACACATTAGGGAGACGGGACGGACCAAACGGATGATAGGTTTGTGACGTCCGCGAGTTCAAATGTATGTCGAGCTGACTGGGAATCCAAGTAGTTCTAGGGATACAATAGGATACAGGATTTTACTTGACAAAGGCAGTCACGTTTGGGTATGTAGATAGCCAAGCGGTTGGGGCGCGTGATCCGAAACCAATCTCAGCTTATTAGTTAACTAGTCTTGGGTAAGCTGGTATTGTCTCAGCACCTTCGTATCCCTTGCGTCACATAACAACTAGGCTTCGAAGGAGTGCCCGAGCTGGACAATTGTTCATTAGGTGGCTCCAAAAACGCCCGAAACAAATCAAAACCTGCAAATAAATAAGACTATAGGAATGGAAGGTTGAATCCTTCCTCGAACCGATTTTTGTTTTGGATTGATTATGACGCATGGAATCCGTAAGTAAACAATAATTATGTCTAACCTGTGTGTTTTAACATAGGATATGTGAGATAGCTATAGAGTCTTTCATAAAAATACACTAAAGAAATGGTAAAAAACTTCTCTCGTGGTGTCGATCAACGACATGTGTGCGTGCTACGTATGAGTAGCTCAGCAAGCGGCATCACCAACCGCATGCAGTAACCCTATGCAATGAACTGCAGTCTGAACAAGATCGAGGGAAACAGTAAGCTATGGGCCAACGGTTCTCAATACTTCTGTCTACTCCATTACTTTCTTAACATCTAGCAACTGTCTGATACTTGCATGTTGTAAGTCACTTCATTCTGAATTTGTTTAGCAGAGAACCTGGGATGCTGACTCTCCTTCAGCTATTTTACAACGCAGAGGAGAATCTATTGTAAGAACCCGATGTAAGTGAGAGAATAAACACTAGAAACTGAAGTCAAAATTGCGACTACTCGATCACGATACTGGTGTTTCATAAGCGCTACCCCAAGCCACAACACCTATGCGCTTGAACTCCTTCGACATGTCTTTGTCGAATGGGGAAACAGTAGAAAACTGTTGGCCTGCTACGCGGGTCCGTTTCATAACAACCGACCAGGAGTCTGCATCCGGATGTGATTTTGAATAATTGTCATAGAGAAAGAGCTTTGAGTACTTATCAAATGGTGCAGACAAGTCAATTCGGGAGAGTTGCATGGCCTTCCTCGTACTAGCAACGATACATTACGATAAATGGTAACATTACAAGTGCAGATTTTCCCAGGATAAATTACATTATGGACCGCAACCCTTTCATCGCCTGTTTCCACAGTTATGAATGATGCCAATGTGGAAAAAATGTTTGACATAAGCCGAAAAATGCTGTGTAGTTATTGGACGCTAAAATAGGCAAGAGTTTCCCTACGGGAAAAAGTCCAGTTACTTACGAGTTTTGCAATGAGGCCAAACCCTTTCGGTCCGGAAGGCGTAAATGCCGGGCCAGATGAACGGGCCGATCGGAGCCGGCTATTGACAGGTAGACTTGACTAAGCTGAGCAACCCATCGATCATTGGGTTCACCGTAGACCAGTTGTACAGGATAATGTGACAGATCCACTTGGCGATTCAACAAAGCTGAAAGAACAAGGGGGTGGAAGTTAGAGGGGTTGAATTATTACAAAAAATTCATCCCACTACTTGTCTATTCGATAAATAGAGAAGGAGCGACTTACCCGCAGGGATTTTGGCAATCACCGGGGTAGCATTGGAAAACTGTCGTACTAACATCTTATCATCTAGCGCATTCAAGCCAGTGATATCAAAAGTCTTGCCGTTAGGGAAAACGATACGGATCAGTCGACCAGAGTCTGTGTTGTAGTAAAAGCGATGAAATCTCGAATCTTGCGGTCTGCGCAAATGCGTTATCAGCCCGGAAGGAGAGTAGCGAAAATGCCAGCTAGTTCTGGTTACTGGATTACTTATTTCTTGAATTCTTTGCGGAGAATGCGGTTCCAAGGTAACGTTGTAGACGAAACCTGGGGAAAGATGGGGAGCGATATGCACACAACCACGAATTGTAAGTAGTGGGCATTGGGTGAGAATTATAGACACACCTTATAAGAAAACAAGGAGGAAAAGAGATCAACGGCTGATCGAGTGGAATTCGCGATGGACAACAAGGCAGTCAGAAATAGTTAGTTGCAGTACAATAATAAAGGGATCCGCTAGAATTCGTGACGAAAGAGCACCCTATCGTGCGGTTTCCTCGTGGGAATGGAGCACTGTAAGTGTACTATGGATGTACTCAATGACAAAACATTGAATAAAATTTACCAAGTGGGGTTCGTAGCTGTAGTAGCTTTCCATGTGTGTCTCGATGTACGCGAAACCGTAAATTGACCGTGTTCCCTCGAATATCGGAGAGTAATCCATCAACGGTATGAGCTCGATAGACTAGACGGTGCAGAGTCATCTGCGTTACAGCGTTTTCTGTTTCAATGAGTTGACCGCGTTCGTTGAAGACGTAGGCTTCGTCCGTAAGCGATGAGACAACGCGATAGTTGGAGGAAGGAGGAGAGCTTTTCGGTAGATGGTGATGGATTCGGTAAACCTGTGAAGCACAAAAGAGTGGTGAATCCCAGACAAAGAGGACTGAGGTCCACCAAACATTCAGAATCCTTTTCACAAGAGGAAGTACACTTACAGTTAGGCTACCATCAGTGAGATGAAAATATGGGATGGCATTGTGCTCAGAAACCGCGCGCTTGGATGCATATATCTAGAAATCGACTCCAGAAACCATATGTAGCGGTTATATTTTCAACCTCTCACTCATTAACTACAAACAGGCCTACGCAGGGTCGGTCCATATGTACTTTAATAACTCTCTGGAAGGACCACCCGATGCGGTCGGTCGAAGGTAGTCTGTCCATCGTCTGTCTGCAGAAATATACACTTTCTATATTACTATAATGAAGATATATGGACAAGCAGGCTTACTACAAATAATATGTTCCGGAGAACAACCTTGTGCATGAGCTGATCGGTTGGGCCTGCAAAAGCCGTGAAATAAGATTAATTATAGACTACTGTACCAAGCGACAGTAGTACGGTAAAAAAACGATGGTTCTGTGGCGTCATGACTAGGACAATAGACCAATCAACCTTGTGCATGAGCTGATCGGTTGGGCATGCAAAAGCCGTGAAATAAGATTAATTGTAGACTACTGCACCAAGCGACAGTAGTACGGTAAAAAACGATGGTTCTGTGGCGTCAAGACTAGGCCAATAGACCAACTTCGCTGTTGTTTTCACATTGATGCCAGTTCCCGACCAATAGAACGGGAAATATCGTAGAAAATTGCCCGAATTCGAAGAATTCTCAGGGAAACTCACTTATCAGTGCTTTTTAGACGATAACCATAGGCGGTTGGGGTGCCCTGTAACGAGTACTCACGGTCGTGACCGTTCTTGGGGAAAACACGTATCACTTACCAAAGCAGACGGGTTTAAGATGGATGGAATCATACGATAGTTTCATCAAGAACAACACGCAGCCTAGATGATTAGGTATGGTATGAAGTGGTTCGCAGGCAACGAGTGTCAACCATGACAAACATCCATGAGGTCTCTCGATTATCAATGAAATATTAGTGATAAAATTACTGAGCTGACCAAACAAACAGTTACCATGTGGCGCATATCTAGCAGAGACATATGTCTCCATAGGAAAGGCAACCAAGTGAATGTACAAAGGGCAGTCAAAACGATTTTCTGTGCATTTTTACTTATACTTAATTAAGAAAGTTTCAGATGCCTCCTCGCCGGATAACCGAATCGTGATCCATAGAAAACCAACACCGTACACACAAGACTTCCTAAAATATTGATAGAGGGCTTGTGAAAAAGCCACACTTCATGCTGATGAAAGGGGGGTAGAAGTGTCGGCAAAGTGTCGTTTAAGCTGGCTGGAACACATCCGTTCGATAAAGATACATGGGATACATGATGCATTAATCCGCAACTCTACAATGAAGCTACCTATACAAAAGCGAAAGGATAGTCGTTCGGCCAGCATAGAATGTTCTTACGGGGCTCTCAACAAGACTCATAGTTTTCCTATGTGGGGTTCACGAACAAACCAGTATTGTATGCATCTATTTCGACGAAACTACCGAGTTTTTGGATCTTAAATTTTTGGATGGCGTACTCAGAATGGACAAGAATTACAAAATTATGGATAGTTCCTGTCCAAACGTATCCGTTAGACCGTTCATGTCCCTGGACCTTAATCTAGGCCAAACAAACAAGCAGCTTGAGATTTTCTCTGAAATATTGTCTGCTCTAATTAGTGTCGTAACCAACGGACTAAATGGAACTTATTGCCTTAAATTATACGACGAAGGGCTTGTCAATACGAAGTTTTCAGCAGTAACTTTACCGGTATTGTCATGCATTGAAAGTCCACCTAAACTTACCAGGCCGTGTGACGCGTCCGCAACAAACAGCTCGCCGTAGATGCTCAAGCCAATTGCACTGATATTGTAAAACCCGAAATTCTGGGCCAAACCTAGATCCACCACGCCAGTGTTTTCATCACGCAACATCGAAGACGCCAACTTTGTAGGACTAGGCTGTTCGTGATCCTGACCCTCTGTTTCACCATCACCTAACGACTTTCCCGCAACCAGGTAGAGACGTCCATCAGATTTTCGGACAAAAACACGTCGGGCCTCGGCCACATACAAGTCTCCTTCGGGGCTAATGGCTAATCCTTTAATTTGAGATAACCGGAACTCCGTGATGGGCTGAGGAAAGCGTCGATCGCCGGTTTCTGTCTCGGTTGGAACACAATCGGCAAGAAATCCCACGATTAAAGATACCATTTGAGTGGGCAAATGCAATCGGTAGACCTGAGGGTAAATTGACGAATCGGTGAGAAACGGTATCAGTATGTTTGATGATAAAGTGAGATATATATAATAAACAATATGGGAGATGACGTACAAGTAACCCATCCACAAAGTATACAGCATCTTCGAACGCACTGTAGACAAGGTGTGTTGGGGAATGAAGTGAAAGTCGAAGACCTGGCACGGACTGGTTGTATAATATGCAACTCCCTGTTGAACTTTCGGTATGACCAACCGCAAGTTGGACTGTTCGTTTGGCGCTTACACCCGATGCTTGCAGCGGTACACGCCAGATTGAATCGCCGTCGGCAAAATAGAGCTCCTAAAGAAGAAAGAGTAAGAACACGTTTAGTCTGGATCGCCATAGCAAGAAGATGATAACGATGACGACGATAATGGTTGTCACGATGTGGACAAGCCCCATGAAAATATATCAATCGTTCAGCTGTAACGCTGCCACACCACCCGAAAGAAGTATGAGGGCTGGGGTACCACCAGGTTGTTCAAGCCTAGTTGAGACGCAGAGACCGGGTTCGAAACACGGACCTTCCGGTCAGTAATTCCGCACTCTAAGAACTGAGCCATCTCGTTCACATGGTCTCTCTCCCATGTTCTAGTGACACGGACCTGATGACGGTTTTACGATCTGGATGATTCCACCATTGGATCGAGCGTTTGGGGTAGTCAATAGAAGTCGAGAAAACGGTTTAGTTCGCTGAATATCATGATGAGCATCAATCACAAATCAACCTAGTGTCGAAAAATGTATTTTATAATTTGTCTCGTGAAGCAACAAGAAATTACACATATAGCCTTTAAAATGGTTGTGATGCACGGATTATGTCTCGATGAGGTGGAAGACTTTTACGGCGACGGCTAACGCAAGAGGTCAACACGGTTGCTTCAGATAAATGGATTGTCGGGATAGAGCACTTACATTGATCATTTATTCTTAGGGTGAAAAACAATGTGGCTATTGATCTGAAGGTAAATTTAGCTTACATGTTGTTATTAGAATGATGGGAACTAATTCCTTCTTACACGAGGATGCGGGCGGGGTCAACGGGAAGCAGTCACTGTGGGGAAATGGTGGCTTAATATGAACAATTTGTAGTTCTTAAAACTGTATTTGAATGCAATCACGCACGCACATAGTCACAATCCCATTAAATCGTGATGGAAAGACCTGCTACCCAAGCCAGAAAGTAATCCATCAGTTTTATGGCAGGGTTCGACTAGACATGCTGTGAAAAATAGCTGTGCCATGATGGGTGGGGGATAGTTACGCTTCCCCGGTAATTCAGTCGCTCCGTTAATCTAAATCATTAGACTAGCTTAGGTCCGATCGAACTGTAACAAATCATCTCGTTCAAGAACACATGCGCACAAACGCCGCATTAATGTCAGTAGACAATGAATGCAGTATGGGAGGAAACAACTTGGAGAAAGTTCTGCTACATGATTGCACCGCCTCGTCCGATAGGAGCTAGCTTGCACAGTGATGGTGGATAAACATGTAAGTGTCCGTGTGGCTTGAAATTACCTCAGTGGGGTGATTAGGGGAAGAGCGTAGTAACGGTTACACTACAACAGATACGATCACGTCATTAACTACGGGAAAAGGCGAAAAACAGGTGAAGCTGGTAATCCCAGAGGACGAACCTTCAAATAGTCCGACATACTCTTTCTCTAGGTACATTCAGCAGAAAATCCTCTCCTTTTGAGTGGAATGCCTCACCTAGTTAATTTTGCGGAAAAGTCATTCGAAAGTTAAACCTTGAGAAACTACAACGTGGAATGCCTCACCTAGTTAATTTTGCGGGAAAGTCATTCGAAAGTTAAACAAGTTGTTTCGCATAGTGGTGGTGACATCTCACGTGGATGGAGGGTGGCGTAACCGGCTTGCAGTTACGGTGGTAATATACATGAACTGAAGAGACTACGGCAACGTAAAATGTCTGTATTCCGGTCAGAAAAACAACCAAAAGCAGCAAAGATAATCCGATGTGGAGTTTGGACAGAATCAACCGTTGATGTGACCTATGATGATATTCGGAGATGCACTTCTAGTCTATTACCAATGTGATTATCATACATTCGCGCCATTGTCGATTGTCTTTCCGTTAGCTACTCCGTTTCCAGTATTTCCACTTTTTATCTCTATGGTCATTGATCGAGTTCAGGTTCCGAGACCTGCTGCCTATGTGCATTTCGGCGGAGTGAGCTACTAATTTGTGCTCCTTAACGGTGTAGGGGGATCTTCATTCGATTTTACGTTCGGTCACTAACGCAAAGTATCCCACCTAACTAGCGATGCAGCGACCGGGTAATTTGCCAACACCGAGTTTACAACGACGTGGTGTGAGATTGCGTTCGAGAACCGTCTTAACATAACGACTTCATGACTGAAGATATGATGGAAGAGACTAAAAAATTCCGAATTCATGCGGATGTAGTCTCCCAACCAATACTGAGTGAGCTGATGACATTGCGGTTGTAGCTTCCCCTCAGTTACCCATAAGAAAGTGAAAGGGTAGGCCTTCAGGGACGTATTTCGAGCCTTCAGAATGCAAATTCATGCAACGGTACCGTCAGAAATATCGCATCTCGACGATGCTGCTGACAAGTTCACTAACCTGAGACTTGTTTCGTGCTGCGGATGAAGTAGTTCACAAAAAAAGCAAGGCGAGGTTTGCGTCTATCGTCAAACGCGGCTTTCAAAACACCAATTTTTCCACCAGGGATAGAGTGCATAGTGCTAGTGTACGGTCGGTCCGTTTTTGTGGTCAGAGAACTTTATCTCTCCATAGATGCATATGACCCTCCGGTCTCCGACCGCCGCTGCTTCTATCAAGTTAACGGATCGGATCAACAATGATACAGTTCGGAAAGCGTGTACTTGACAGTGAGTCAAGACCCACTGAAAATGCACAGAGTTTGCTAGCTAAACCACGTTCGGGAGGGCGACTACCACGCCCAACGTTGTTTGCGAAGCTCCAGTTAAGGTGCGAACGAAGGAGTGGTAGCCAGCCAATGATCTGAGTGGAAGAGATGGTCGTCTTGATCGCAACAATTGGGTAGGATTGGCAGGTGCCGTTCAACATTCACCGGGGGGGGGCTGTAGATAATCCCCAGTATTGCAAGGGCCATAGTCACTCACCGATATGGTCAACCTGCCTGCTTTTCAGTTTAATTCTATTTAGCAGCTATTAATCGTTCTTCCATTATCCTTCTCTGATACTTTCTTTTAACCATGGGCTTTAATGAAAGTGCAAGAGTCTAGGACATAGGTTTCAAATATATGCTCACGTGTAGAACCGTACAAAAAAGAAACGTATGACAAGGATGTACTTACATTCTGAGACACGGCTATACCTTTAGGACCAACAAGCGGATGTCTTAAGCACGGAAGTCCGGTTAGTGACGGAAACACAGTTTGTTCCGCGCAGTCTACGCTCACCACTGGTTGTGGATGATGAAAATCCGCAAGCCACCAGATTGTCTTGCTTGCGGCGTGTGAAACGAAGCAACCAAATTGCATACTCATCGACGAACCAGGCATCTCAAAAATCGATTTATTAATCACGAAATTGGGGTGAGGAGCCAGATAGTAACCAACATCAGGTCGAGTCGAAGACAGGGAATCCAAATCGGGTTGGAGAAAACGTAACTGGGAGGAATTCATTGCGCGCCAAATGTACCGGTTGTTCTCGCGAAATATCGTTTGAGCACGCATATCTAGGGATTCCGAGGCAGATGAGGGTTTGAATCTGTGGATGGCAAGTGAAGAATTAGAAAACTGTAAGATATGATTCTAGAAATTGTACGCAACACAAGCGAGGACAGTGTAGACAAGATCTTACTTGTTCAGGTCAGTCGGTTGCAGCCAACGCAGGTAAGCAGCGTCCCCGATCAATACAGCCCCAAGGGCATCAGTGACTATCGCGTACAGATTCAACGTTGCCGAACCGAACGCAATCTGACCAGAGTCACAATCTGCACAGGTGTCAGGAATTCGGCGCGCACCATCATCACTTTGCCCAAGTATCGGAAATACGTGCCAATTCATGTGTTTCAGGAACAGATGCAAGCCGTCGCCACTGTACACACAACAGGAGAGAATGTGATGCAAAAAATATGATTTCCCATAATAGATGGTAGAAAGATCGAACGCAAATGTAGCAATACAGTTGTTAGCAAAACGATAGACAGTGGAATCCTATAGGATGCTACCCCATCCCATGAACCTACGATCAAAAGTCATTGCCAGATGGACATTTTCGACAATCAATTCCTAGCAGAAGTTCGTTAACAAAGGAAGTGGGGTCAGAAAATTGAACCCACTGGAAACTTTCACATCAACAGGTCTCATCCGGTCGCGTCAACCTCCAGAGTAAACATGACATGAGAGCAAACGACCGCGGGCATCAACGGATAGGTATTTTTTAAGGTTTAGGCCTTTGTAAATATAATAAAACTGCAGCCGAATATATATGCCATTTTAGGGTAGCTTGGTAATGATGATCGTTCAGCTGGGTGCATACCTGCCATGCAACCCAGAGGTAGCGAGAGGACCAGGTTACCCAGGCACAAACAGAAAACAGTCGACATGCCGCGGTTGGGTTCGAACCACGGACCTTCCGGTCAGTAGGTCCGCGCTTTGACCACTGAGCTTTGTCGGGCCCAAGGGTAACTTGTCCCCAATAGCACAATGTTTGGAACGAACCCATGTCACAGGAAGACAACCTCTGAACGGCCTAAAGTTGTGGTCAATGAAGACAGCTAATTACACCACTGGTTCCGAGCTCGCTTCGTGGCGCCGATTAAAAAAAAACAGAACTCACCTGCAGACGAACAGCTGTGGAATATCAGGGAGTGGAGGAAATTTATAATATCAGCAACGGGCAACAGGTGCCCATCTGATGGATTCACCTAAGGATCAAAAGCGCCCACCATGAATGAAACAGACACAACTTGTTATTCGTTTAGACCACCAGTGTTTAATCCAACCAGTTGAAACACAGAGAGGTGGTAAAATAACTCATTCAATGGGAGATATATGCGCAGCGGAAGTAACTAGCACCTGCCCATCCAACTTTGCGGGTTTCATTTTGTTACACGAAACCATAGTTCGATCTCTAAAACCGACCCGGGAGTCGGCTTGAAACTAGGTCATTGGTGGTAGCCTATAACTTCATTGGACAACTCGCACCCCTTCCTAACAAGAGATTTGTGCCAATCAATCCTGGAAGAAGGTTTATGCACCACTCAGTTTCATAAAGAACTAGTTCATCTGCCGACTGGCGGGTTGTTTGAATAAGAGTGACAAGCGATCGGATTCAAACAGTTCACCCGAAATTCGGTTAATACGGCTTTCTGGTGCAGTGATCTGGGCAAACGCTTAAATTACAGATATTCTTAAAATAATAACAGAGAACTGGAACTATAAGCCACCATGCGGCGTAGGATCTTTACATAAATGATAAAAAGTAAAAGCGAACTGGCTTTTTTCCTCAAATTTTTACATTCTGTTTCAGACTTTTCTGTACCGATTCCATGCAGCAAAACAAACTCCATCGCAATAGAGATGTTTAGCTACATTCAAGGAACAAATATCTCTTAAACCGCGATACTGTGTGGTAGAGTCTATTAACCGGAGAAACTGCCAGAGGCTGGGAAAGCTGTGGTGGTTTTTGACTGAGTAATATTAACAGGCTCGACCTCGTTTGGCTAAAGGCTAAACATAAACACAAGATCGACCCATAAATCACTCAAACTTGGCGTGAGACAGAACTCAAATGCAAGGCAGTTAAACCAAACAACATGGCAGATCCCATTAAGTTCGAAAAAAAAACAGTGAACCACCTGCAAAGTATAGTTAGACGGTTTGTATAAGTAAACTAGCGAAAATTTATGCCCAAAAACGACAGGTTTCTTCTAAGCTGATTCTTCAAAGGGGAACAGAGCACCATGGATATTGCGGGGGGGGGGACTTGCCGAAACGCTCCCAAGTAGGCTTCGGCTAACTCTCGGATTATCATACCAAAATAGGGATCCTATGTTTTAGATCTAAGATGTCCGAAAGTGGGGCTAAACCGAGGTTGGATCGATTTGGGCGTGCTGGGAGGAAATCGAGCATGTTTTAATGTTGGATTCATATTGTAGCCGCCACTGAATCGGGAATCCTAAAACTATATTAGACCACAGGGCAGTTTTTTCACCATGACATCACGCTGATGAATTGAAACCAATCCGAAGGATTCTGAAAAGCAGGTGTCCATCCAATCCACTTAAAAAAGGAACTGACATTCGGAGGATCGAGGAAACAGGTTGTACAGTTCCAGTTTATCAAGAAACATTGACGTAAGGAATGAAAGGAAAGTGACGACCACAAGCAGACACATAGGGACCTACAGGCCCTGATGAGATGGATTTTTTTTATCCAAAAAGACCAGCCACACGGTCGGTCAAATTGCAATTCTAACAGGGAACGAGGAGATAGATAGTGTTGTCCTTGGTTAAATTAGTTTTGTTTCGTGTATTGACTTAGAGATGCAGTGCAAACACTTGAGATGTTGAACAGGAACCCTGTGCGCGTGAATGCCAGTCGGTAGATTGTTGGTTGTGCAATGACGGATGTATAATTTTTCCCGGCGGATAGATCCAAGGAGAAAGAAAAACATCTTTCGGTATGAATACGTCTGCTAGAACGACAACTTTTCCAATCGTTACTGGGTTGCTGTACATCCAGCTAGTCTGAGACGCTTGTTTTCTCCGTGAACTGACACAGTGCTTTGATAAGTTGCGAGATAAGCGAGCTCGCGCCCATCAAGATACTATCTGTAGGGGCCATCTGAATCAAAGCCAGGTTGGCGGTTGGTGAACGGAAAAGTGCACCGAAAAATTCGTTAATTGCCCATCAAGATACTATCTGTAGGGGCCATCTGAATCAAAGCCAGGTTGGCGGTTGGTGAACCGAAAAGTGCACCGAAAAAATTCGTTAATTTCAACTCGCTGGGTTGCTGTGATAGACAAATGGAAAAGCGCGTGCATGTGGACTACACAGCCCCGACATTAAGCGGTTTGACAACAGCCGGCCGGGTCGCGCACCTCTTTCAGTACATCTCGAACATTCATTTTCCAGAAACACAATTTCCGCAAGTGCGAAACTGTGCCCAAACTGGTGTCGAACAACTTGAGTGTTGTGATGGTAAACAGGGAAGAACCGGCAGTGGGTTGTCCATGAGTTTTTAGCAGTCGTATGGGTGGGTTACTATTGCCAATTTTTTGGCGTTCTACTATCGTAATCCACAAAGAGAACACGCCATAACAAGAAAGAATAATTTCTTTTGGAAACTGTCATTTGGTAGGGACGTTCTCAAATGTTTTTCTTGCTTATCTCTGAGAGGTGCGAGAGGTAAGCGGAAGGGCATAAGGTATATCACTTCTTGCCTCTGATTTGCTTCGCTTCCCGCTTTCGTTTGCAGCCAGTCTGAAAAACACGATTTACATGGATACCTTGGCGATCAGTACAGATACGATAATTAAGGGAGAGCGTAGAAAAGGCGAAGTTGTTACTGGAAACTCAATTTAGCGAGCGACCAGATGACGACATAATGTTAGTCGAAATTCGATGGAAGCGATAAGACAGCTAAGATAGTACGCACGGTTTACAACTGGTGGTGATGATGGCGCTCAAACTAATTTACAGTCTCACAGGCTACTGGCTACGGATTTAACGGTTTTCGCCAACTTCTCACTTCAAGGGTGTTCAAAGCGTCGCCGTTAAATTCTGTCCGCTGTTTACAATCCACCAGACTCTGTCTCAGGATCAAATGAGACTATTTTATAGTGGTTCTATGGAAAGCCACACATTCGCTTCAATAGAAAAAACGCACAATACAGTGAATCTTGGACAAAGCAGACACCGAATAGTACTGATACAAGGCAACTTGCCTGTCCGCTAGGACAATCAACCGTAAGACGACATTGAAGGGAGAGCTGAAGAGCAGTGCGCACCTCTTCGATTAAGACTATTCAGATGCTCAACATTCATTTGTAACCGGATTCATCTTCAGTCCTGATATTAGGTTCTGCGGGAGATGAGACGCTGTTCAGATCAATCCAGACTTAGTGTGAGGACCCGCACTTCCCAGGGTACGCACCTTCATGATTGAACATCAACAGATGGTACTCTTATGTACTTCACAATAAACTATGGAGAAGTTTCGCCTTCGAACTTCAACATAGTCTGATAAGTATGGAGAGCCATTTTCAGCTATGCAAGAGCCTGTCTTACGTGTCAAAGACTAGGTTTATACTCGCACTTGGGTTCAGAAATACCTGGAGAGGTCAAGATGATGCTAATTAGGCAGTGCAGACCAAGGCGTTGTCGCTTTGAAGTACCACGTCTCCAACTTGCTCATCAGGGAACTATGTGGCCGGAAAGCATCGTGCAGTACAAACACACATCCTAGCTACACATACCTAGATGGTAAAAAACGAAATGATAGAAAGTTGTTGCGACTAGAACACCAGAGGGATTGGGTCAAAATTGTCAACACTCCGGTAGTTTTTGTCTTCAGATATTGGGTTCCCATTGTATTTGGAAGTCCTCCATTCGGGATTAAGAGCCACTGGAGCGGAATATGAAAAGGCCATGTCGACATGGCCTGCTAAGAAGCGTTGGAGTAGTGTCCAGGAATAGTGGACCGGACTGATAAAAACTTACCGATAAACTATGCCATGATTCACGGAATACAGATGTACCAAGTTCAAGTTCCAGTTGGCTAATTCGGAGCTTGGAAGCTCATGCCCTTCAACTTGCACAGTACGGTGTTCCCAAAACACCTGAGGGCATCCGGTATAGACGAAGCCGGCGGAGACTGTTGAAGAACGAGGGTGACAAAAATCATAAGGTGTGCTGAATAAGAAGCATGTAATTGTTTACGTGTATTAAGATTATCATTGAGTGAAAGTGGTTGATGGGTGGTGCTTGAGCTAGGCGAATTCAGGGTGTACATTCCCTGTCAAAAATCATCGGTGAGTGAGTGCGGAACTGTACCGTAGGGGTTGATTGTCTATAAAACAAATTTCCAACGCGACCACATACACTTTCGGACGTGAAAAACAAAGAAAGCTCCCTGGGAACAACCCTCATACAATCTTCACAAAGTGAGATGCAACTGGAAGAGGACACGGTTAGGCTAAGCCATATCTCAGCAGATAGCAACACGGACCCGGGCTCGACATCTTACGGGCGACTTAAAATTGACTGTTGTCCCTTATATCTTGATCTGCTGTACGCCAGACGTTTCCCTAACAAGGACGTTAGAATTACTTAATTCACTAACTGCATTCAGTAATCTAAGTTAGTCCTTCATATTCAAGTTGTTTTTAGCTTCCTGCTCCGCTGGGTTTTATCCACAAGAGTGATAGTAGACAATCTCTATCAGTGAATGTGTTTCCAATTTCCAACCTTGGGCACTTTAAAAATACTAATGCCTTATTAAAAGGTCACAGAAGTACGCCTACATGTGTAATGACATGTAAATGAATATCTTCGAAAACGGTGTGATAAAGAGACATTTCGACACCCGTATTTCTTTCTGTCACCCTTTACCATCCTCGGAAATTACCAGGCGATGTCACGGTCACCCGTATCTGTCTCATCTGATGTCCAGAGTTCCCAGCGTCTCATGTAGATGTGACTAACTCATCTTGTTACGACCAACGTCTTTCAAGTGGGCTATCCGTAGGGTACCGCAAATTGTGGTTCACCATCTTTTTTGATACCAAATGTTGACCTCCTTCCTTAGGTATGTTGGTGAAGTTTGCTGAGAATTCACACGCTTGCAGACATTCGCACAACCAACGGGAGTTCAAAAGGCTTCATACAAAACTTATTTGAAAGCACCAAACATTAATTAAAAAACGACACTGAACTGTTGTACGTCAACTTGGCACAGTTTCCTATCGCACATCCACTCGTTCGATATAGGTATATACACACGGAAGTAGAACCCGTCAGTTTTCCTGACATGCTACGCAGTTTACCAGCAAGTCCACTCAATTTTATGATTAAGGTTGTGTTTATTTCCCTCTTTGGCAACATCTGTTGTTTGTTATTTTCTCGCACCTCTCCAATCCCAACAGTTGTTCACGTGCACGTGGATTGTTGCGCAACCGAAAAGGGACAAGAGTGGGGTAGAGTAAGCAAGTCGTTAGCAGCCACCTCTTGTTCACAAACAATCATGTTCAGTCGATCAAAAACCCGGGAGAAAACGGATTGTGCGCGGAACCGGTTAGCCAACAAGTAGACACAAGTAGGGGAGCACTTGTCTTCCACGAACAGTCTTAAAAAACCAAAACGAAGTTGTACATTCCAGGAGTGAAGAAAGAGAAAATGCGTCTCGATGCTAAACTGAGAGTGAACCATCACTCTGTATATCGGAACGTTTCAAAGATGGCAACGAAATGCATGACCTCGTCAAGTCAAACAGACTGTAGGAGGGGATGATCCCTAACAGGATACCGATGGAATGCAAGACATGGTACCAAAGCTGAATAGGCACAACTGGCTGCATTGCTATCACCATACTTTCGCTTCTCTGAACAAAATGGATCGGTGGTTGCAAACTTTTCAAGCTATCGCCACCCTAGCTCTCGATGCACGGCGCTATCGACTCTTCATTTTATATGCGATGTGGAAACAGCGAATCTAGGATTTTTGATAGCGTGAGATTTAGGAGTTAAGGAAGAGTCCCATACAGCGGTGTAAAATGTTCTGAATTGACAACCTGTTGGGGAATACACGACAGCATTCTCCGGATGGCCCGATTCTGTGCGTGAGCCCTCTGAAGAAAGACCACTAAGAGATTTTGACCATCAACATGTGTTTCATACACGCTGGTTGATACTGGTTACTCAGAAAGAGCATAACTGCATACTTTAAATAACCACATACTACTGACGACATTCTTCTACTTTGTGATGATAATGCTTTGGAATTCTAAGCATTCGCAAATATGGGAGTACACGTCAGGAATTAGATAGAGGCGAGTTGCAAGCTGAACTCACCAACGTACAACATGAACAGTGAATTTGTTAACAATAGTAGAAAAGCCTGTCGAGTAAGGGTCCGATAACATATCATCAGATGTGTTTGGACGATCCAGTGCGTTAATATGAGGACCATGTGACTGCCACTGACTAAAGGCATAGGTGAACAACGCGTTGTCAACTCGGCACAAATTTTATCAGCTATTTTTCTCTACCATGGTGGGACATTATGTAAATATCGGAGTCTTGATAAGGCTTACTCTCGAAAAACAAATGTCCATTAGGAGATGGATGGGTTTCGATAGGAACATAAGTTCAGATCCACCACAGTGAGCGAAGTTGAACATGAACCGTGTTTTGCGTGGTTATAAAACAACGGTTATCTGGATGTCGCGCGCCCGACAACTCGATTCGGTATTTTACTAAACGAACCCAGCAAGTTTGTTGATGAATATTCACGGTTTCATGTACACCACAGTGGATCCTCACCATTCTGTTCATGGACAATTTTGGGTCATGGCCCCTCCCCTACGTTGTACCGAATAGCAATGGGCCAAAAATATGAGTTAGCTGAGACTCCATCACTTCACGAGCCGAAGGTTGATCTACGAGTCTGTTCAATCAAATGGAGATTGGATCATTCTCGATAGATACTATTTCCAGTCCGCCACATACCGCGACTAATACAAAACACAGGCCTATTGAATGAGCCACAAAAGTTGCCCTTATTCGAGTGCTGTGGAGTATGCGCCGGTACTCACCAGCTCGCGCAGGTCGGTACATTTCTGCGGTTAACAAGCAGGAAGCATTGGAACGAAACGGCTCGCTGAAAATCGACAAGTTAGACATCGAAACGGGGGGAGGAAAGAAGAAGGCTCCGAAATCCCATTGCTTCACAGAAGCAGTGAAGAAATGAAATTACGACACCGCAATAAAGGGACTCCTATGACAAAGTACACAAGTAACAAACTTGCAAATATTAAAAGTGGATGGGCGTGGAGATTAGGTTGTTATGAATTATAGGTCTCGCGTAAGTTAGCTTACCTTTGGCATTCACCAGTCCATACACTGTTCGGTTGTACCCGTCCGTTTGATTCCAGTAGAATGTCTCGATCAGATTTAATTCCGGTTCCAGACGCCGAATTTCCCTCAAGCCGGCGATATCCAGGGCCAAATGAATTTCACGAAGACGATCAGGTAAGGCATTCATGTTATGTAACAGTCTCACGCGAATCATTGGATGGTAACCTGGGGCGCGGTCCGTTCGGTGAATCAAACGTAGTTGGTTTTCCTGTGGAAGAGGTACCCGAAAATATAGTACAGGCAGAATGTGACCAGTCTGTGAAACTCTTTCGGAAGATGACGGTTCACAACTTACATGGAGCGGGATAGCATAGGACAAAACACCGGCACTGTTGACACACAATGATTTAGTGGAGTCCACGCAGAACGCAACGGAATCTGTTCGGCGTTCGACTTCAACAAGAAGTCCACTATAAGCAGTGAGTGCGTGCACACCATCCTGCAAACAGGTTTTCCAATCGCCAAAGTCGTCAGGCACAAACTTTCCGCTAACCCACAGGTCGTGCATCAACGGTGAGGGGGACAACAGACCACCGGTGGCATTCGGTGTTGAGGTGAGCCCGGGGGCAATCGTTGCAGAGAATTGGGCATCATACATGTAGAAATCTCCCAAGATGACGATTTCATTGACAGGTACATAGAGATGATATACAGCAGAGAACTGATGGGTTGGATAGCGTAAGAATTCCAGTTTTACTATAGATCCACCTTCCACCAGCAGATCAAATCTAAAAGAGAAAACATGGTGGAACATTATGGTAAATTCACCATCTTCGGGGACGGAGTTAGGGTGGTGACTTTGAGGACGAGGCAAGTGTCAGTAGCGAACAAATTTCAATGCGCATAGGCCGTTTCCAAGATACGTTATTTATGCACCCAGGCAAATCTGAGTGTAAAGACCATTTTCTAATGAATATACACTCCAGTGATATACCGCATCAGGTGCACGTAATCTGGTGGGTATGGGGTAGCCTCGTGGTTAGGGTGTAAATTACTAACAGTGAGGTCTGCAGTCCGGACTCAAATGTGACTTTTTGGATGCTTTTTTTAGGTATGGAGAACCTGGTCAGGTATATAACACTCATGCATAAAAAACGATACCAGAGCTAAACTTCGGCTTCATCTTTACTGAGTCGGGTAAATGTGCTCGGCTTTCGAGTCCTACGGACATAATTACAATGAAATAAGTAACAAAAATTAGCCATGGCCAGGTAGTTCAGAAACAGTTGAGAAGACAAGTGTGGATTAGAATGACAAAGCTGGAAGGTCATGGGTTACACTGTCATTCTTCGAAATGCCTGCATCATACCGATTTGTTGGAATACGAGTTGGAATCATGCCAGTATTACAGAACAGACGGAACCAAGGTGACTGACATTCGTCGGCCTCTGCTATCATTGTAGTCCTGTTAGGTAGCCTCCGCTTAACAAGTTGAATAAATTAAATTCATATTGCAGTCCTTGCCCACCGAATCTAAACAGTTTAACAGACATCTCTCCGCAGTTTTTTATGACTGCTGAGAAATCCTTCATGTAGTTCTCGTTTGTATGTGTCGGAATTTGATTTGTCTGATCCAACTCAACGTCTGATGAGCGGTTTGAATTTTAGATCCATAGGTTTACTTCAATCTTCCAGAGAATTTTTTATGAAGATGGCGATCCGCGGACCACTGGATTTGTTCACTTTGTTTCACCCTCCATTTACTCTTCAGTTCACGAAAGCGTTCCATGAGATTTGTTCTTAGATCGCAAAACTCTCCTTGGGTAGATGAGTTTGATGGGTTTCTCAGTATCTCAATGAAACTGCATTCTTATGTTCAAGTGTCCTTTTTGTCGATTCGATGATTTCTTGCAGACTCCCTCTCAATTATCTCCAATGCGACTTTAAGCATGTGACTTCATTACGGTTCATTTTTCACGCAATGAATTACGTTTCGACTGTGCTTCCGGTATTCCACTACACTTGACAAAACCTTCAGTTCTCCGACATTCAGGTAGATCGATTATTCTTTTTAGCAGGATGACAGTTTTCCTAACCTGGTGCATAGAAGTTGACGTAAGTGCACGAGTTGAGGTTTACACAATTTTATTAGTCTATTACGATGATCACAGCACCGCCTTTGTTGGTAAACCTCTATTTGAATGATTCGACTCATGGGATTTTTCAAGTAACTAAACATGGTCCACCGGATTATTGGAAACAATTAACAGGACCCAAATCTGAGTTATTCCGTGGATTCCTGACGTTTACCTGATGTGCCAAGTTACTTCAAACTACATCAAACCCTGAACTGGATAACTTGGTACTTCTGGTAACTTTCCTGTTCCTCATGTCAGCTCAACATCATACCCCTGACAAAGGAAGCTGAGTAACAGGAGGTTCTTCCAAGTTTCCCGTCCACAAACATTGGCGGGTTTCGATCGTTCGTCGTTAGAAAGCTGGGTGTGAAACTCGTTTTCGTCATCTTCAGAATGTGGGCGCATAGGTGGTCATAAGCGAAGCGAATTCAAGTTGCGGGTATACTTGGATTGTTGCAATTCAGTTCACTGATAGGCTTTGAAAACGGGTGTCTAGGTGCTGCAAATCCTACTGTGTTTACATCAATTGCTCTCCACATTTTTTCCAGGAGGAATTGTATTCGGGTCCAGCTCTAAGTGGTTTTTTTTCTATTCTGCAAGTTTTATGTCACTGAACGCCGCAACATCGACAAGATAACCCTCAGGTCTGGCACTATTCTCCTTACACGGTACGGCACTGACTTTACGGGTGTCGAGTGTAAGTGGTCCTGTAACGATCCTAAGTACACTAGTTACCTTCGTGTTTAATTGTGGTTTTGAAAGACGGTTAGTTTTTAGGTTAGTTGATTGATTTGAAGTGTCCACCTTCGTCCTTCAAACGGAAAGATAATGCATGACGGGGTTTTCTCAAGTAGAGTCTAAAGACCTAGTGAATTTGGGTGTGAGAACTCGTTTGGCCTAGAGAACAAAACATAGATTTATTTCTCCTAGTGATGTGATTGAGTCGTACTAGGCTCTAATCTGCCTTCCCCAAAGGAAGGCAGAATCGCTACTTCCGTGGATATGCGAATGTCGGTTGCTTGGAGTAGATATCCTACCATCCTCATACTCGTACGAAAGCGAACAGTAGCACTCTAAACTGCTCAATCACATGACTATTCACACCATGAGAGCTCGGCGCTCTTCACTCCTGGCCGAGCAATAGGGTCCTCAGAGTCGCTTTGCTGGAGGGCTTTGCTCGACAACAGAAGCCATCGTTCTGTAACGATGCAGTGTGATCCACGAATGGTTTTAGACATTCCACTCACCTTCCTTGTTCATCCGTCAGTGTGTAGCCATTACGCATCTTTTGTTGATCTGATACGCGAACTCCCCAGAAAGGAGTACTGTCCCATTGGCGAACCGTACCGCGTACAACAGAAATGAGTCTAGGACAGGGAACGTTAGGAAAGAATGAGAAAACTATGCGAATTTTGTTACTAAGTGAGACAACAATAACAACGACAGGAACACAATTGCCAAATCGTCAAAGTCAATAACAACGTTATCCATATCACCTGTTCGGATAATTGGATCTGATTTACACATACACACACACACACACGAAATGACCTGCGGAATGTCGGGATACACACACACACACACACACGAAATGACCTGCGCGAATGTCGGGTCATGTTTATATGCATCATGCACACCTGAAACGTTGTTTCCACCGAATTGTCAACAACGCGTAAACAAATCGGCGTCCACTTTGGCGGCGTTACTTTACCAGTGCGACAGCTGGAATCACTATACAACTAGTACTTGGTTTAGGTTGGCTGTTGCTTTAGTGATGGATGATGTGGTATGTAAGTTCGGTACTGGATCACAATCAAACGGTGTAGAAGAAAACAGAACTGGTCAATAGACAATCGACATTCCCACTGTTCGTGGCAGATGAGAGAATTTCATCGGTCATCAAAATCATTGAAAATTCGGGAAAGCACCGGGAAGCAGATACTCAGCATCAAGTGAATTATTGACACCAGAAATGTGCAATCATCAACTGAGTTGTTTTCGTCCAATTTACCATAAATTCTCTAATAAGTTCCCACCGCACGCTAGTTTTTGAAACTAACCCGATCAAGCTACGTAGACGTTTCAAGAAACGGGTGATTTCGTTTAGGCATGCTCGTTTTTTGTTGAAAAAAAGGAAATTACAGTTATGTAGGTCGTGATGACAAAATCCAGGGTATCGAACGTGTATCTCTTCCTTAGGTTAATGTGACCAAGGCCGCAATTTAAATAAAGCGGGCCAGGAGTGAGTGAAACCCACCGACAGGTGGACTCAGATTCAGCATAGAAAGGTTCGCCATGCATATGAGAGGCAGGACGGTGAGCAAAAACCCATTTAAACACTGACAGAAAATAAACAGCCAATAAGTCGAGCTTAACCGTCACCAATCGGGCTTTGTTTGCGCTAAGCTTTGGCAGAAAACGAGCAAGGGATGTGCCTTTAATTCAATTTTGTGCGAGATTCGGGTGAAGTGGTCTGAGTTTCTAGAGCGTCATCCAGAGTTGAGGTGGATGAGTCACACACATATATAAACAGATAATTGTTGGTCTGATGTGAATCATCGTCGGTCTGGGTGGATGGACGAATGTGCTCGATTGTTACCTATGATGTGAACATGCATTTGATATTTGGTCGAACGGCACGATGCAGTACAGATGATATTCAACATACACAAAGAGGGTGTCCAAAAACGTGGTGGTCTCAGTTGTACCGCATAAGAACGAATTCCATGAGCTCAAACGAGGACAAAAATGAATCGATACCTGCCCGCAAAGTGTTCACTTCTGTAATCCAACCCCTTGGAGCTGGTATATTCTTTGCCTAGGGATGACTAACATGGAACACGTGGCTTCGTGTTGTTGAGCATCGAAGTCACGGGTGAAAACACATAATTCTTTCACAACAATAGTTCCGGTTCTTTTTTGAGTACCTTGCTAGTTTCACAAGCTAGCTACCTTCGCCTTATGAGATGCTTACAAACACATCAATGTGATCGTCTTCCAAAGAAACTGATCAATAATGGATCAGTCACGGAGTCGTTATTCCCACATTACATTCGGACAAGACAGCACGAGAATCTGATACCATTATAGAGAGCAACAGCTTTCAGTCATTCCCTTTGTTTTCATAGAAATAAAGGACTCCGGAAACTCGATGATATTGGAGGGAGGGAGAAAGAAGGTTGTTGTCTTACTATGGAAGGAGAAAATGCGAAACCCTTCCAAGGTTGTATTACAAATTCGAAAAAAAACGGTAAAGTCATATCGCGGAACGATGGGAAGCTCATTCCATGCGATCGATCTGTGCAAGCACACAGTCATACTAGTCACCATGGGAGCACTGCAGTCGTAAACAAGGTAAAGCAGTGGTTTACCTCTAGGATATGATCGAACAGGTTCAGACAGGATATGGTCAATCTGACTGCATGTCAGCGGACACGGGAAGCAAGCCTCACCAGGCACAGGTGTATTTGGTACAGCAGTAACACTCAAACGCCACTTACAGACAACTCAGTTACCATGTCTGATCATTACGCATGACATGCGCACAAGCTGAGGAGCATAGCCCGAGAAATTTCACCCAACAGGGCACATGGATTGGAGGCTTGGCAGGTACAGGCATGGGCACGTGTGTGCACGGGAAATAAAAAGAAAGATTGCCATGACAACAGAGAGGTTGGCGAAAGTATTTGCTCCGGCGACGAGGGCAACGATAACAGATATGGTATATGGGTTGTTTTGTACTGTTTTTAGCCAGTGCAGGGCTTCCTTTTATGCATCAGAAAGACCAAAATTCCACCAAAAATCGATGGAGACGGAATCTGATCAGTAATTGTTAGAATCGATGCGACCAAACAGGGGTTTCATAGAACTTGTTCAAAAATTCAAATAAGTTGAGGATATTAACGAAGCACGAAACAGAATCACTCATCGTTCTAACAGATGCGACCAGTCAGTGAAAAGTTCAAAGGTAATATGGACAGAAACCCTCGAAAGTACCTACTTCATGCTGTCCTTCCGAGAACCACTATCAATACTGTCAGGCTGTCCATGAACGTTGAGAGGACAGCATCGATGCATCTTCATGTGCGTTGAGCTAAGCCACCTAACCTAATTGGAATTGTATCAATCATATTGCGCAAAAGACCAAACCGGCTTCGGTTGGAGTGACTTAGGAATTCAATCTGCATCAAACTCTAATCTCAGATCGTTCAGCTATGGCATCTTTTAAGTACGCAGTTGTCCTCCAATAAGAAAAGACCAAGAGGTACAAAATACCAGATTGCCCGAGAGAAGGAAGGGGTGACAAAAAATCAAGAGGTGGACTCGAACCACAGACTTTTCGGCAAGTTGAACAACGCAGCAGTAAGAACAAATTTGCGAGCTGAATTCATTTCGCACACTCTTTTCCGCCGAAGGACACATGAAGCAGTATGGCGGACAAAATACAGCTCGGTTTGAATCATTTATGTAGGTCTGAAACACTCAAACAAACCAAGGAGTATTTCAGAATGACTCACATCTTAACAACTAAGCACTAAGCGCTAAGCTATCTCGAGTCGTCCATACTAGACTGCTGGGCTTGCATTAGATCATTTTTAGTGCCTTGCCCTCTGATACGGAACCATCCCTTCAACACAACCCAGTATTTCACTTTGGAGTTGTTATGGAAAGACAGCTAAGTATTGGTTCGACGTCTCTGATCCGGAGAACAGTGAACGGCAGTTGCCCCCTACACCTAATCAATATTCGCCAAACCTGGGGCGAACCCTGTGGTATTCTCTGTCTACACAAAACGGTGGTTTGTCGTCCACACTTCCTGGCTGTGTAAAGTCAAGCAGTCACAGCTGGTCCAATTTGCTGTCTAGCAATTCAAATGTTTCTCCAAAAATATCCGTAAGACCTGTGCTCACTGGCAACAAAGTTGATGAGCACCTGAGAGATTTAGATTTGATGCTGATAAAACTGACAGAATGTTTTGATATCACATGTGATGATGAATTAAGTCGAGAAACACAGTGACATGGCGGACACGCTAAGCTGTTTGGCTCGGACGGGCAATACTTAGCTTTTTCAGTCAATGGGAGGAGCGACTTTGTTGGGGGTATAAATAAGGACACTCAACAGAAAGTCAACAGTGGAAAACTGAAGGTATCCATCGCCTACTCGTTTTCATATGGAACTGATACGCCGTTATGCAGAGAGCGAGAGATCGTATATCCGCGAAAGTGACTGAGTGTCTGACGCTTCTTACGGTCAATAATCCTCATTATAAGAAAACCCGAAGGGGAAAGAGTGCTTCTTTCTGAAGAGTGGTTCCTTAGAAGTATCTAACAAATTTGGTGCAACAGCTTACAGAGCCGCAAATATGGAACATGGCCATGAATATGTATTTCCACCCCTTGCTCTTATAGGTGGAATCACCCGAGGTGACAAGGAACAACCATGGGGCAGCACACCATTTGCGTAAATAAGGACATACCTGGGATCCAGATTATCCACCACTACTCGGTCTCGGCGAAGCAAGAATTCCAAATTTCCGTAAAAGGTGCTGCCTGGTTGAGCCATTTGGGTTATCAGCAAGCGATAGTGAAACGGCTCACTGTGCGCGCAACTTTCTCTCGCTTCTGCGGCACTCCCATCCGAAGAACGAGCCAGAGCTCGACAATGAGACGAAGCGCAACAGTCGGGATCCAAACAATCAATCAAGCCATCTAGAAAGTGAATTAGAGACTTGACTTCTGTCACGTGAAACACAGTTTGCAATTGCCCCAGAGTGGGTAGGATGTAATATGTAACGGGAGATGGGTAGCTCAAGTACGCTGCTTCGTTGTTGCTTTGCTTGCCGACCTACTCTAATTGCCAAGTTCGGTGAACGAGCAAACAGCAAAGTGAGTAAGACAATCACAGTCGATAGGCGGCACGTACGTGACCCTGGTAGCCAGAAAGAGAAGTAATCATCAAAGCCTAGTAACAATGAAATGCACAGAACCGTCATGAAGACCCGTCAAGTAAGATTAATCAAATATGCATTTGATAGGCCATGGTGTATCACGTAAGGGTGACATGCACAATTCGGGTAGGTTCAGGCGAGTTTCTGTTTGTCGGCTAGGAAGCATATACGAAGAACAGCCGATGGAAGGGAAGACAGTTACAAGTTGAAGGCAACTGCATAGCCAGTTCATCTGTATAGGGTAGCTTGACAATTCCGTTGAAGTGAGAAGGTAAGCGCTGAGCATTGACGTAGGGACACCAACAGATAGGTGATTAGGTCATTTTCATCAGTGTTCTTTACCACTGATGTATCTCGTCCAAACATATCTCGTCAAGAGGACCGAAGTTATAAGAATGAGTGGGTTTCCATAAGTTGTCCTGGGACCATAAACTAACCACCTTTGAGTCATTCTCCTTGCGCATAACTGGGCGAAAAGAATTCAAGGGGAAGTTGATTACCTGATATACAGAGTTTGTGGACTAACCAGCGTAGCCTTTCTCCCGTCAATAGTGGGCTAATTTTTTCAAACAAAACGCAGTGCACACTTAATCCAATGATCCCATAAGAACTAGACGAAAAGTGATTTTCGAGTGAAACACAAACAGGGTGTTCAGTTGATTTATTGATTTTTTGCTTCTTATCGATAGCCATTCAGACACAGTCATTACTAATTGCGACAGACCGGGAGTATTGCGGGGACAGCCTAGATTTCCTCAAATTCGCTTCCCAGTTCGAATGCGGGCGGTACGAATGATCGCTAGACGGGAGAACCGGAGCTTACTATCCTCGGTGATATTGTCTTTCTGTCATCATCCGCAAATGAATTGGAACCCCCATTGTCGGCATGTTATCTAAACAATAGCATCGTCCTATCCCTTTTCTCTCCGATTGTCCAGCGTTCTAAACTAACTGTCATAGCCGTCCAATAAAAGGAACATCACATCGGCGGGAGGAAACATGTTATGAAAAAAGTGCCTCCATACATTGAAGTTCGGGGGGATTTCAGTTAGCCTTATATCCGGAAACTATTTCAGCAGCAAAAGAACACCAACGATTCCTTTTCTTTACTGGATAAGGAGAGCTGTTTCAAGTGGCAACAGCGCATAACTTGAGAGGTTGGTGGATGCGTTCGCAATGATTCACGACCAGAAAGTAATGAGCTGACAGCTGATGTTTAAGTAAGCTAACAACTGTGCACACGGAAACGTTAGCAACGTATTGATGCCCGATGTCCTTGTTATGGGGCGGCGTTCCAGTGACAATCAGCGGAAAGTCCTGATGGGAGCCCAGTGAGTTGTCGAGGTGTGTGCGATTTTTGGGATTACGCGCACAAAAGAGGCGTCCGGTAATATACCGTAACCTCAAGCCGTCAGGTTCAGGTTCTCATCGAGGAATCGAAGGCCTACTATCTGGACCTCTCATTATCATCATCGAAGACAGAAACATCAGTGTTGTCACTGATGCTTCGCCGGACCTAACATGAAACAAATAGGGCAGCAAAGGTGTGGCCAAATCCCAAGCATCCTGCGATAATCGATGATTAGCTAGCAGACCGCTGACTACCTACCAGTAGTGATCGTCCGAACCAGTTAATAGTTAGTCAAACCAAGATTCATACCTGAAATAGAGATCGGCAGTTGCTCAAATAGGACGGCTTATGCGAAGTCTGCAGAGCAACAGCCTGAAACTGTTAATCTAAGGTCATGTGTGCGACCTTTCTACGCTCAGTGAGGACGAGGGCGTTCCTGTGACCAAGGGTTTTTAACATTGGACCACACCTTTTCCCTAAAAATGCGGTAAAATCCCGAGTCCACGATGTGGTAATTATCAGGTCCTCCGAGAGGAGCAGTGACTAATCAAGCTAAACTTTCTGACTGCCCACCAATAGTCAGCCGATTAGCTGGATTAGTTAGACCAAAACTCGCATCTTAACCATAGATAGTCTTTTCTGGGACACCCAGCTGAAACCGAAGAGATCTTGTTACATCCAATCATTAGGATGTGTGGGGGAAGGAGAATAACAGAAGGGACGATGCACAGGGGCACCCGTATGTGGTGTTGCGCGCTACGTAACAGATTTTCTCAATCGCTGGAGGCAGCCTGAAATTTACCGATCTGTGACAGATATGGGCAATATGTACCGAAAGTAGCTAGAACACTTGAAACTTCCGACACGATATAGTGTGGCTCATCAATTGGGCTTGTTATTGACAGGTCAAATGACTCCTGAGATCAGCTGGTCTGTCTATTGACGACACACAATATTTGTAGGACAGGGGAACACTGACGGAGTCTAATCGAACGACAGCTACACGAAGCAAACTGTAGTGTGCTCACAGAACGAGTTACTTGTTTACAACCTATATACATGAAGTCAACACCGACAGGCACATGATTCTCACCAGTACTCACCAGATTCCCGTGCATTTCGTGAAGAAAGAGTTGAAACTAAAAACTAGGGTGGAATGGTTACACCTCACCTGAAGAGTCAAGTCGACGATCAGTTCTTATTAGCACTTCATTCAGTTTGTGTAAACTGAGAGAACAAAACTCGAGAAAGGTTTGCTTATGATCGTAAGACTAGAGAAGCAATACATCAGATGGGCCTGAATGAGGCCGAGGTTAGTATGCATCAACAGATGATTACCGAAGCGATAGGCACCGGAAGAGCAACGGGACATCAAGAAAACAGTAAACCTAATCTATATACCTTGGTCATTGTCCTGGTGATCATCGCAAGCCACTTCAGTCTGAACTTGACACGCACTTCCCTTCCATTCAGATGCACATTGACAATGATAGGCAGCCATGAGTTTGTCGAGCACACATTGTCCATGACCGCTACACTGGTTGGGGCATCCATCTACATGGGATGAAACACAAATCAGACGATAGGACAGTCCGTAACAACGAGAACAATCACAAGGAGATAGGAAAATCGGAACTACCCGTAAGTAGATAGTATAAAAACGCAGGATAATGGTGAAGTATGTTGGCAGGGAATACTGAGCCTCAAGTAAGCTAGCACACATAACAAACAAGGAGACTTTGACCTTTCAACAAGTAAATCACATAGGGCTTATAGTGAAGAGGTGTGGCAAAATGCTAGGGTGGATGTGGAAACACACGACCATTTAATACCTGTAGATAATAACGAAACCATCTTTTCATGAGATCACAGCGTGCCGCATCTCCACAAATGACCAGCCGAAAGCAGGAATTCAAACAAAAGCCATGCTAGTTGGGGGTGGTTGAATTGAAATGAATTCAAAACGCGATGGACCAACTTCAACATATTCAGAAAGGCATTTTAAGATATGCTACTAGAAAACTCGTCGTAATGAGCGTGTCCCGGTGAGCATGTCTGAATCACTCACCCAAGGTACAGTGCTTTCCGTTCCAACCCGGCTGGCAGATGCAGGTACCATTCGAACAATGCCCGTGCGCAAAGCAACTGGGGGAACAGACTTCTTGATTACAACGCTGTCCAGTCCACTTGGCAACACATTGGCATCGCATATTGTTGATCGAGTCAAATACACACGTACCGTGTGGACCGCAGTCGAGCGAACAAGCTGGCATAGAAAGAGAAAAGGTAAACATTGATACTGTCAGTAAACAAGGAAGTATTCCCATTAGATTCAGAATGGTGAAAATGTTTTAGAGTAAACTTACGAACGTTATCACGGGCATCTAACAATAGAGGAGAGCTCGTTGCTGAGCGGCCAGCAGCCTTTGAGTTCCAGTTATCTGTAGGTTGATTCCTCCGAGCTGGGGTGCCTAGAAAGCTGGCCGTCTGCATCACTGGGATAGAAACTTCGCACGCTCGCCCAGACCATCCACTGAAACAGCGACAGTTACCCTGTTGGCAAACTCCGTGACCGGAACAAGTTGGGGAAATGCAAGTTTCTGAAACAAGGTGAACACACAATACTGGGTTACTCATTGATAGAGTGACACAACCTCACAGACAATTTTTTTAATTTCAGAGCATTTCGATCACCGTAGGCGAAATTCGCCTGGGACCGACTGATATTCATCGCTGTAAAGTCAACATTCAGAGGGTTGCTTGATTGATTAAGGTTAGACGGTCACATCTGGGTAATGAGTTCAACGGACCACGCTGTTGTTTGTTGATGTTTGTAAGCCAGAAAGAACCACATGGCTGGCCCTCGTTCCGACTGACACGGGTGGTTGGCAAGTGAATTGTCATTGCTTTTGCACGGCACAGTTGTAGGTGAACCGATATGCCTTCCTTGACCGGCTCAATTTCGTCCGATAAAACAGTGGTTGTCCATTAATGTACACAGAGAAGTAGATGGTTCTCTTCCGAAACTTGATATTGCGTGGGATTTCCGGGTAAGAGTTGTACGTATTTTTGGTGTTCTGCAACGCGCACATTCAGTTTTCTGCTCGTCCTTTCTGTTTGGCTGCGATCCACTTATATACGCAGTCGGCTTCATCACCAAGAAAAGCATATAAATATTGCCCGGATATGAGCACAAAATCAGAATAGCCGGGGGGAGAGGCTGCCGGCAAATCTGGTGATGCGAAAAGCCCTTCGAGGAAAAAATCCCATGAATACGAGGATCTATTTGGATGTCACGGCGCCTCATCACCTGAGGGAATAACAGATGCTACGGCACAAAACAGTCAGTGTGGCACTGTCGTCAAGGTAACATCAATCTTATTATGTACCGGCTGTGGGGATCAGACAATGATTCCTGCTAGAGGATTCCTTCCAAAAGGATTCGAGAAACCAGGGCAAATAGCGCATGAGCATGAGGAAATACTTTCATTTATCAAAAGAACGGAAGGATGAGCGTGAGTGAGACAACTGAACAAAGGTCTATCAGGTCAAAGGAGTGTGTGTGTGTGATGAGGCAAAGGAAAACAATGGTTTCCATCTTCACAGACGCAAAGATAGCCCACGGTTATGATGCGGTAAACAATAACAGTTCCAGAGGGCTTAAGGTGTAGAAAATTGGTGCATGGATCCAAGAAGACACCAGAGAGAATACATTTTTTTAACTCCCGAGTGTTAAATGCCGTAAATGACAAATATCTGGGGATTCCCCCTCTTTTGAAATGAATGAAAGTGAAATTGACGAGTGCTTGAGAGGTAAGGTGGTGTACCAGCTTGGGTGTTTGCAGCTGCAACATATAAACTTATAAATAATATTATTAACAATAAAATTAAAACAACGAAAGACTCAGCTTAACTCGACTGGTCTAGTAACGAAACCATTTAATTGTTCTGTCATTCGACCGTGTGGCCTAACTGATGATCGTGTCATATTACGGCTGGAGCTGTAACTGACACCACGCTGCAACAATGGACAAACTTTCAAGCAAACGTCTCAAAGGAAGCTCAGGTGAGATGAAAAAATGACTGATGAGCTGGTCTTACCGGTTGAACTTGCCCGGAAGAGCAAATTCAATGGACAACGGAGAATCGAGAGACCGAACAAGTGAATGAAATTCAATTATATGTCAATCGATGTTGCTCTAACGGTAGTGCTTTCCGCTAAGACAAGCTAACCAAGCGTGCTATCACGGATGAGTGAATACTACCTCAGCCGAGTAGACGCTACTTGCCAGCTCGGATACACGCGACCATCGAAACGACAGGCATATATTATAGATGTTTGATCCGGAGGATAAGAAAGTTATAGAAAGAGTAGACGCTACTTGCCAGCTCGGATACACGCGACCATCGAAACGACAGGCATATATTATAGATGTTTGATCCGGAGGATAAGAAAAATTATAGAAAAAGCTTATTCATATTATACCATTCCGAAGAGCGCAACTCGGAGCATTGGCACAAGCTAGAAAAAGTGTCCGTTTGGAGACAGTAGACTAAGCGGATTCACAACAGACACCAGTGAGAACTCATAATATTGACATAGACGAAAAAGTAGTGGGAATACGCTGGCGGCAGTAGCTGAAACGAGACACACATGGATGTTGGAGGGCATCCGAAGTTCTGAGAGCAGGCTAATTGTTGATGTGAATTCAGGCATATATCCGAATGGGAAAAACAAAGCAATTAGCTGTGGGATTCTTTCGGTGCACAGCTGGCATACGAAAGACAATGGATGAGTAACAGGATATCCGAAAGGATAGTCAATGTTACTGAAGTGAGACAGGACCGGTACAGAACAAACTTTGGGACGTTGGGAATTTGATTCAGTATGCCCAAAGCATACCTATCAGTAGGAAGGGAACGAATGTTGAGTGGATATAGATATGCGAATGTGTGACGGTTCTTCTAAACGCATCAAGCACAATTCGTATCGGGTTCAGTAGTTATGAAGAGTCTTCAGTTGACGGATTCACACGGATCAAATAAGGCCCGTGTATGACTGGAAAGGGGATGTAGAGGTACGACTCTGTAGATTTGCATATCGGTCAAACATGGAGAGTTGGTAGACAGGAGACGACAAAGCTTTATTCGTTGACCATCAACAGCCAGCAAAATGCTAATTCTGAAATGCTAGCTAAATGCTTCTAGCTATACTGCCGTGAGCCGCCGAATGGAGACAATGGCCAAACAGTCATTACTTATCATCAGGCTCAATCCGGGTTGATCGAAAACTCGGTACGGAAGGGTTGGCGTCGGTGTCTGCCTAGAGCGCGTTCAAACAGAAAACTGGAGCCTGTAGATACGATATCTAACGCCCTAGATCTAGCCACTTTGACATAAGCCATGCGGCTTCGCACATGGGTTTGGAGAATGCTGCGGTATGAATCGTATTCGGTAAGTGGGACGCAACTCCTGCCGTAGATTTGCAAACATCCGCTTAGTGGGATTAATACAGCTGAGTTGACAAGGAGACTCTTTACCGATGTCACTGTCCAGCCAGACGCGTCGAACAGAATCCCGCCATATTGCTTCCAACGAGAGATTTGAATGCGCAACCAGCCGTGACACGCTATTGGTGCACTGCTGTTACTCGATTACAAGGAAGCACTAGGGGCCAATGGGAGGACCAATCAAGATGATTGATAGTGTAAGGAGATCTTAAATCTTTTATTCGAGATTTCGCCCGGTAAGTGAAGTCAATCTATGCTGCGAAACCGAGAAACACTTCAGCGGAGATCGGTTCCATAGGACGAAATGTCCATTGAAAATTCTGGAATCCCTCACACTACCAATAATCTATAAGCAGCTCAGAGGAAGAGTAATTTCACAAGACGAGTGAAGCTTCCGTGAGAGGTCTGTTAGCATGTAACCATGTGACATAGATTGGGATTGAATGATGAGTCGCGTTGTAGTACGAGTTAACTACGCTGCTGATCAGCAGCTTGCAGCCAAAGGGTTAAGTGTTTAAATTACTAGCCCGGAGGTCGCGGGTTCGAAATTCACTGGAGTTTCGTGAGATGCCTACTGCTTATAGTCTCGATAAGGATGAAACAACTGTGCAGATCTTCTTGGCTTTTCAGCAGGGGGTGGCTTCACTTACAGGACGAAACCCCTAATTAAGGTGATTCTGAAAGTTAGGACCGTCCGTTTGAAAGCGTACGCTTTAATCCTTGAGTTGCTCAGCAACAAATGCTGAAAACCACACAACGGTGGTTTGTAGGATGATCTGTCTGAAGACAGTGTCACTGTACGGTGCTAGACTGATCAGGCGAGCTGACTCACGCGTTAAATTGAGTTCAGTAACACGAAACACGAATTGAATCACATGAAAGTTATCGAATAAGCCCAATGTGGTAAAACTGTAATGAGGAACTGGGGTTCTAACTTGTCGCGACAGAGGTACTGACATCTGTGGTGTGCAAAAACAACGCTGAAATTAGCAAGTCGACCTTAAATCCTTAATCATACCGATGATATCACTGAGAGGTAAGAAGAATCGGGTTAGTGCCATGAGATTCGACAATAGTTGGAGAACGTGTTCTAGGGGAATGTAAAAGGAGTTACCTTTGGATCACTATGTTTACAGATCGAGTCGCCAGTCGCTGCTCTTGGGCAACTACTACGTAACATTTCACAAGCCGACTCAGTCCACCTCCGGAGAGAGTCGCCTTAAGGTATGAATAAGAGAAAAGTGATGGCAATTACACTAGTTATGCTGACAATACTTCGAGCGACTAGAATCATGTACCGGGGATATGATTTTCGGCTAGTTGCGGTGAAACGGTGTGGAAACTACCCGTGGAACGGTGGATACTACTGATGAGGCACTCGAGTAGTATATTCAGTTGGTGTTTTCTAATAAACAACTCTGTAGTGAAGGCCTTCTTCCTTTCACCCATATATAAGAGTCTCCACCTGCCTTAGTGGGACTGCATTGGCTAGTTCGCACCAAAGCAGAGTTATCCACAAACTTGAGATTGGCGTAGCCAACACGCGTTCGCGTCGCGCAATCTAGGGTGTGGCCCAAGCAGCCTGCAGTTCGATTTGACATGTGGCGACTAGCCACCAACAAATCAAACTTCACGAAATCCATCTGTCTATCAATTTCTCCGCCAATATCGATCGGTCGGACGCACGATAAAACAATACGCCCTCCAGTGTACATGAATGTAGAAAATTCTATCCCGTGTGAGAGCGTTACCAGAGTCAGTCGTAAAGACAATGCGGGTTTGTCCGCAGACATTTGGTGAGCACATTTAGTAAGCACTGTCTGTGTATAAAGACACGTCATGCCATGGACAACATGTGTGCATGTGCGCGAATACATGTGGATGGAACAGAGACCGGTGTCAAGCATTCTTCTTGTACATATTACGGAAGCGATGACAGCTGTGAATTAGATCTGATAAGGAGCAAACAGTAGGTCTAGTCAACAAGAGGATTTCGAAATCAATGTATACGATCGCGATAAGGTTTATCTTGTCACGTGGTATTATTTTTAGAAGACCTTCGGTGAACTGGCGAGCGGAGTTGTCAAACCATTATACGGAGAGATTGGTGGTTTCGCCACAACGAGGACGGACCCCGTTCGGGACGGAGTCTGCAGTAAAATATGACCCAGTAATGCTAGGACGGGGAACATCGTAAACAACGCCTTTTAGGAGAGGAGACCATTACTTCGTTGGTATCGGACCTATCAATGTAAAAACATCTGGATTTTAGGACAACTGTAAAGAGCTCACACTGATGATTGAGAAAAACTAACATACTGTGAGATCGGACGAGACCTGAACATCAAACTGGTTGTCAGGCCATTCCAATGGTGAGGATCAAAGGGCCAGCTGAGCATGGAGATTACACTTCACAATGGCATCATAAATTGGCTACAATCATACGACCAAATTGTGATAAACTTACTCGTTTCACACAGTTCCCCAGAAAAGCCCGGATAGCACTGACATTCGCCAGTCACGCATTGTCCATTACCCGAACAGGTGGGATCCAGACACTCGGACCAGAGCACTTCACATTCCCGTCCTTTCCATTCTGGATAACAGCGACACGCGCCAGCCATGTACTCCCCATGACCATTGCAAACTTTTGGAACTTCAGCTGTATACACAGAAATCAGAAAAAGAGAAATTTGATAATCATAAACATGGAAAGTCTCTAAACAACCAACAGAAGATTAACCATCGGATGCTTCGTTTAGTGTCACATAAGACATTCGCTCATGTCCAGACAATATTGTATTCAATTACTGTGTTGTTTATGAGGTTGATGAAAATTCATCAACAGTCCACCACCGTTTTCTCTGTTTCGGGTTCAACAAATCAGCTCGATCAGTCGACCTAAACTGCTCAACGCCGAGTAGGTGATGAGAACCATTCAGCTGGCCACAAACATATCGACGGGATCGTCTACTTTGGTTAGTTATCCTTGGACACTCATAGAGCAACAGGCGGTAGCGTGCTTGAAAGTACTTCAGACGCGATCCAGAAAGGTCCGGTTATTCAAAACCGGGCAAGTCTTAGAGGGCCGACAAGGCAATTAAACACCGAAACAAGTCTCTACCTACAGCACTAGTCTCTTTCTCATATTCACGGGATGAAGAATGAGTAGGACACAACGATTGTCAACGAAAATCTAATCAAAACAGTGACATGTTTAAGCGAGATAAAATACAGCATTGGTTAGTGAGGTAGGAGAAACGACTGAACCAAACAACAACAACAACCTTTCTACAAATAAAAGTCACGGACCAACTGCAGCAAATGAATGACAGAATACTGACCAACTTGGTGCCAAAAATATTGGTACACGAACATTAGGACACGCAGCAGTGGACAGGCTGCAGAAAAATACTATTTGCCGCTTGTTTTTCGTTGCCACTATTACAGATGCTATATATGGCGGCACACAAAGTGAAGGTAGCCAGCTGTGCTTATCTACCAGGTCCTGGCAACAATGCTATGAAATGAAAGAAGCTGAAAAACTCTTAACTAGCCGTGGTAACGAGTGAGGAGCACCAGTGTCACCACGATGGACTGACCGATATTTCGCGTCAGTCAAACAGCACAGGGTTAATAATGGCTCACATATGATGCCAGATGCGGCTCCATACGAACCGTCAGTAGTGTTCCAAAGAGGGACCACCGCTATCGTATCCTAGCTATGACAGTTAAACAGTTAAAAAGATATCAGAAAGTAACCCCGTAATGCAAGATGTCACTTGGCAGAATACTTCGTACATGTAAGTACGCCCACTCGGAATGAATCAGTTCGGTCAGTCCAACTGCGCTTCATATGATAAACGGTAAGGCATTCGTTGATTTTTTCGCAGCTATAAGGAATCGAAGCTGTTTAGGAACTGACCAAGCTACGACAGCACATCTATGTCAGTAGCAGCGGTACATTCCTTATAAAAGCTTAAATGCAAACTGTCGGTTGAACACTGCCAACTATCTCCTATTCTGGTGAAAACGCAATGGTATTACTTGACAGAAATGCTAACACGTTGGATATGTCCTCTCCGGTTCATTCAACAAAATCAGCAAAATAGGTGGTACTCCATTTAACCTAGGTTTCCAGTAGCTGTAAGTTGTATCCAGAAGGATCAGATCGGAAAATGTGCCGTGCCATGACTGCCCTACGAATACTGTCAAGACAGACCGGCCAAGTTCCGCGTATCACACTTCGAGAGTGAACTAAGCTATAACACTACTCCGTAAGAAATCAGTCAGAAAATTGAGCGCGTCAGGACATCAGGGTATGAATAACCTTGGCAGCAATCGTTGTTTGTAATGGACTTGACAAAAAAGGTCACGGCGCATATGCATTTGAATCAATGTGGTTGATTAGTCACGCACAGCGTTCGCACCGAACGATTCGAAAGGAGTGACCTCAGTGTTGTTCCTTTTCACTTTTTTCCAACAGCAGTACAACACAACAAATGGTATCGATGTCATGCCTGGTTGCAGAGAGCAATTGTTCCGACCGTAGTTGAAGGGCTCATTAATTACCTCGTCAGGATTGTGTGTTTATGGGCAGCACATAGACTGGTCAAACAGTAACAAAGATGAATAGAGGAGTGTGAGAATCGTTAGTGTAATTGGTAGTGGCTGGTGACATTCGGGCGGCAGGCAAATTGACGGTTGGGGAATTTGACCAAACGATGTTCACACTACTATGGTTAAAAGGTATCTCTTGTCTTATCAAGACTACGCTGATTGGTATGCACCAAAGAGAGGCTCCCTAGGGACATAAGCAACGATTAGTGACCAAGCCCCCAGTCTTTGCACGGTAAAGAAGGAGTCGGGAATGGTAGGGCGTATAATCGAATACTACTGAACATCCACGCACATCTCAGTTAAACAGCAGTACGGGCGATTTCGCATTCAGGATGCTCGAGTGGTTAACATATGTTAAACACTCGGCACAGGATGTACGTATAAAATATGCTCTAGTCTTTCCCACCCCATTGTAGAAAAGTATAGGCGATGACATTTGCAAACAAGTCTTCATAAGAAAATTTGTCTTTTAGCCTCACACAAACCGGTAGTCGGATATTGCCCACAATAAAACCCGATATAAAGAAGCGTCCAAGAGCATGGTTCTCACGGCAATGTGCCCATATGCAGCATGTATCCCGTAAAGCAAGGATAAAATTGAATGCTTATATTTCACCTAGTACTGCAAGGCTGTGTGCTTAAATATCCGTAACCTAGAGAGGATGGGTCTCTAGTTCATAAAAGGACCGGATGTTTGAGAGCATATACCGTGTTGCGCCTACCGGCATTGAGTGGGCATTGACCTCAGATGACCCGTTTTTTCGACGGGAGTCATGTCGTGACTGTTCCAGCTCCAAGTTGGTTTTGCCAAATTTAACACACTGTAAGTGGTCTCTCACTCGTTTGATGAAAGTCTGCTAATACAGCTTGATCATTACGACCAACTGCTGGTATATATATATACCTTGATGTTGGACGAACTTTGGTCGAACGGCAGCTGCAAAGAACAACACTCACCGGAGGACTGAATTAGCCTTGTCGAACACCACCTGATGAATGTGCTACAAACACACAAGCTGGCTGTTGACAAAGCGCGGTAGACTTAAATTATTTACCGTGGAAATTATAATCTAAGAGGTGCTCAGTCTAACCTTCGAAGACCGAAAGTGGAGTTGTTTCTGTCTCACAGTTGATAGGCGGTCCCCGGAAATGCAAAGCAAGTGTCGTTACAACTCAATCGAAAAACACATTAGAACGCTAAGGGACGAAACACTCACCATTCGCTACTTATAATACATAAAAATTCATTAAAACCATAAAAAGATTGTCCCGGAAAACGCGACCTCTATGAAATGAATTGATCGAAGACACGCCGGCCGAAATAGTTTACGCTTAATGGGTCTCTAATTGCAGAGATAAAGCCCTTGGACACAGACAGTCACGTGTTCGAGTGTAACAAATACGCTCTCCATTCGCGGAGCAGCTTCCAGTCCCACAACAGACAGCTGTTTGTCGTTGTGTGCTTGTCTGTTCGGCTGCGAGTGACATGGATGGCTCATGGGAGTGTGGATATCGAAAAGCTGGTGAGCAAATACACCACCTATATGGGTTGTGATTATTTGTTTTACTTGGCTGTGGTAGGAGGGGGCGAAAGAGCAGACGGGGAAACGAAGCGATCGGAACAAACAACAGTCTGTCCATCATCAAGCCAGGAGAAGCAATATTCACGTTGTGGACGTGATTCGAGTGGATGGAACAACCTGCTGAGTAAAAGTGTAAACAAAGGAGCAAAGAAAAAGGCGATCCGATCAGTTGTACAACTTTTCTTCAACCCAACAGATTTCTGTTGCAACCCGGGTGAGGATGCACATCACTTCCAATAGGACCACCAGACATACAGGAACGGCCGCAACAACCTCTGATTAGTTGTGAACAAGCATCAGGTGGTGTGATTCGTTTTGGATGTCCACGAGCAAAGTAATACACCGCGGTTTAGCGATCCAAGAAATCGGCGATTGTTCCACTCAATTATTCGCAGTGTGGAGTTCCGTAATAGTCACTTCAACAGTTCTGCCACCTATCTGTGGGCGAGCAAGCGTTAAGACCATCAGCTCCCCCGGAAGATTCATAGATCGGGTACCTCTGAACTCATCCCAAATGGTACGGTCAATCGCGGAGATGGCTTGAATCCCGATATGTAATCTCCAATTGTGCGTCTGCAAGGAAGTTGCGCAACTTTCGGACATACATTGACTTCTCCATAAAATTGTCTGACAATGAGACCATCCACCGGACTGGATGACCCACTGATCCGTTCACCATCGCTTATTTAAACATGTGAACGTGAATCTCACAACCGTTGTACACCATTTTCGGCTGTGTGATTATGATGTACTAGCCATGGGGATCGGCCGGTGAGACAGAACTTCTAAACCTTCGTTCTTCTTACAACTTCCAAAGTATGTTTAATCACCTGCAGTGTGCTAACGACGATCTGTTTATTTTAAGATATCCATTGCATGTGTTTCTCAGGGTGTGTCCTCTAAAGTATAGCAGTACCAATTCCACCATTACTTCAGGGGTTAGTCATCTTCAGGATTTATGCTCCGAAGCGCTTGTCCATATAGGGAATCCCGGGGGCAACCAGAAAACAGCGTTATGAATACGCTGTTTTATACAGAAAAAGGGAACTGGACCGCAAAACCAAGTGTCCGTATATCAGCAAATGCAAACAGTTGCTTCACCCACCCAAGTCTAGATACGAGCGTAATAGTTTTCGTCAGGTGAAGTACAAATATCTGGTAACACGAGGAAAGCTAACTTGAAACTGGATTCACTGAGGGGTAAATATGCGTGTTAACTCTTTTGTCCCGTCTGAAGGATAGCCTAATTTAAAATTGGTAAGAGAATGTAAGGAGGATATAGAGGGATGTGGAGTGGGTGAAGCGTCCGGCTAATGATGCCCTTATACTGCAGATGAAACGGACGAGATCATTCAGCGAAAAGAGGTTGACCATGATGGCCCATGAAGCCTATTACATTGGTTATTCAACTGGCATATGTTTCCTTATTCCCACCAATTGAGCTGGTTCTCCAGGGACTTCCAATAGACAACGCCTCTTCAAATGTCCATCAGTGCATTTCAACTTATCTTGGAAAGGATGCCAATGGGCTTTCAATCTATCCATCACCGACCACTTGATTCTGACAAACATAAGTGGGTGTACCGTTCGGACGGGAGAGTGACGGTGAGAGTCACAACAACCGAAGATGACATAGACGAGCTGAGAATTTAAGGTCATTCTGAATGACCAGAACTGCGTGTGTGAAATCGTTTAAAATTGCGGGCAGATGTGACAGTGCCGAGCAGTGTAGAGAATTTGGTGGCGTTAATTTATTTTGTTGGACAGTGGTAAGTTTTTCATGAGTGATTTCATTCATTTGGTGATCGATGGGGTTCGGAAATCTTGCCCCAGCCTGACGGACCCAACTGGACTGATTGTGGTAGACCATGAACAGATTTACTGATCCACGGAGAACATTTTCGCCTTCCAGCAGATGGCAAGTTCTATCCGAGTGACTTCCACAAAACGCCCGTTAGTAATAACTGAAAGGGATACACGGCAATCCATCGGATAATCGAGGCCAAGGGTATACTCATGTGCGAAGAACACGTGACGTGAATAGAATTGAGCGTAAAAACCCATAGACAGTGATAGACCGAGTCCAGCATTGGTTTGCTCATCCGGCGAAATCGCTAGACAATTGAACTAAGCCCACGCCAGTATTAGTCGTCAGTAATAAACCATGACGGGATCTATTGCTGCAGATCAGTCACTAATGGCAGAAAATGCTTTAAGGGAAGCTATGGATTGTAGTAGAGAGCCCGAATTGACACGAAGACAACATGGCACTGATGATAAGGTAGATTTGGAAACGAGTATATACTGTTCTATGGGATTAATGGTTTGGGGAGAAGGCCATATTATACCTGAGCCATGTTTCGAAGGGCACAGGCAAGTCGAAACACATATGTTCACGTAGACGAAGGCTTTGACCCCAGCGTAACAATCTTTCGGTGCCCAGCTGCCGTGCCACCTGAAGAAAGCATGAGGTCTGAGATACTGCCAAGTTGCCCAAGCGGTCGAGATTCCGAGGTTGGCTTCGAACAACTGACCTTCCGATCTGTGAGTTCGCGTTCTAACCACTGAGCTATCTCGATCTCACTGACTCGCTATGTCCGAACTGATGAAATGCGGATATGCGCATCCCGGGGAATGAGTGGTTTAACTGCCGTAAAGATCAAGAGAGCACGGTCGACAAACGGAGCAACAGTAAAATGTGTCCTAGTTGTTTCGTGCTAATAACCTGTTGTTCTCATGTCCATGTAACTCTTGGGTCCGCTACCTCTATGGAGACTATCAGCAAAATCTGTCATTACAGTGGTTAATACGGTTCATGGCTGACGTTCAAATGAATACATAGGCTAATAACCCCCGAAGCAACTTCTGAGGTCAGGAGGTCAGAAATCTACAGGAGGATAATGCAAACCGGGTTGTGACAAACGGCGGGCAGATCGTTGAAGCTTTCTGAGGAGGATGGGACCCGACTGAATTGAAAATATTTGTGATGATGTAGTAACGCAAAAGTCGGCGACTTCATAGAGTCCACAGTCGAGAGCGTCTCGTTTTTCCCCACCTGGGCGAGCTCAATCCCTACCACTGAATTGGGATATAAATTCTGCGGTAAGCAGAAACAATGGAAGATAATGTGCACAAATCGCGAAGAGGTGCGCCTCAGCGTGGGAAGAGATAATACAAACCGGAGCACCCTGGCTTCAGGTTAGGATATACAACTACAGCCTTAACGTCAAATCACTTCAACGATTTGCTCCGCCAACCTTGGTTCCAAGACTAGCTCTAGCATTGTACCAAATACTGTAACGTGTGTAGTATCATCAGCACAGTTTGCACAAAAGCGAGTGAAGAGTGATCAAAGGTTTACCTAATGCACTGCTTGAAGCCGTTGCAATCACCTGAGAATACAAGTATCAAGTTTTGGCACTACAACGTATGGAAATAAAGGCTGCCATAGAGGAACAGTGAGAATTTGAGAAAACTCACCGAGGGAACAGTCAGGTCCTTTGAATCCATTCACACAGTCACAGTTACCGCGATTACACACCCCGCGGTTGCTACAGTCGTTCGGACAACCAGATTCCATAACTATCAGGAGCAGGGAAGAGAGGAAGACCAAAACAGTAAGCTGCCTGACTGCTGGACAGTCGGGGGACCGACCAAAAAAAACGAAATACCAGGTAAAGGGAGAACGAATGCATAGCACTTAAATAGTACTGAACGGAAGACCATCGGATGAACGTATATTGTCTTTTCGAGGTGCCGCTAAGAAGCATTTTGAACAAACAGCCTTGGACCACACTAAAAACAGACCTATTGGACGGGTCACGTTCCGTGATACAAACCGGCAAAGACACGGTTTATCGAACTCAGGCGGTCCATCATAAAGAGAACATTGTTAATCGACTGCTCTCATTTCGTTCTATTATTCGACCCGTGCAGGTAAACGGTTATCAGGCAGTACATAAAAAATAAGAGGGTGTCAAAGCTGACAGTAATACAAAGTGGGAAGGTGAGGAACTGAAACGCGCGCCATGCACGTACAAACGACCAAGAACAGTCGATTCACAAAAGATTGATAGACACCATTCCCCCATACACCCCGTCATTCAGGAATACAATTGTTTGTATGTGTCCCTGTCAGTAACTGCTGGATGGAACGGCAGAGTTGACAGAGAAGGACAAGGAAAACAATGCAATCCAGACAACATGGTGGGCTGTTTTTTTAGATGACGACCATTGTCCGGGACCCCAGTTCGATCAGTTCGAAAACAGTGATGAGATAAACTGTCACTCAGGTCTTACGCGAGGTGAGAGCAGAAGGAAAGTCAAGTTTGCGTACAATAAGCCCGAAAAATGAGAGTGGACGGAAGACAGTGGTAGAGCGGTTCGGTTGAATTTTTTCGCAAATGACTGGCAATTCGGATGGACAAAACGTCAAGTCATAAAGTAATCAGGCACGTGGTGCATTTTAAATCTAAAAAATAGTTAACTTGTTGGTCCAAACAAATGTTAGTTAGATAGGTCCTAAAGATTAGGCTCATGAAAAAATCCAATAAAGTACCCCACCTGAATCACATCTGATTACCTGCTGAGCTGATTGTCCAAGAGAGACAACCGTCGGTAGAAAGGACATTTAAATTCTCCTGGTTTTCGTCTCGCCTAGAGAGAGATGACCGATTGTGGCGCAGCTGATGAGAAGCGTTCTCCCTTCTTAGAAGGATTACTGTATCCAGATTAGCAAATCGGAGTCTATTTCAAACCATAGTGGCGTGATTTACACATGGTACTGCCACTCGGCCACTCGTGGCCGAACGGTTTAGTATTCAGCTACTAGCATGGAGATTGAAATACCCTGGTGATTAGTGAGATGCGCACTGCTGATGATCCCCAATGAGAAAATAACACATGTACACTGCTTCTTGGCCTTTGGGCACAGACTGACTTGAGTCACGGGAGGCGACCTCCATGAAAGTGCTCAAATCTTCCCATGCTATACGGATGGGCCAGAAGTCAGACTAAAGCAGTGTATTGGAATAGACATTCTCGTCACCGTTACTGGATTCTAATATGTACAGAACGAGTCTTTCGATGTATGCACTAAAATATCTTCCTGAAGCTTGCGTTTCATCAGTAACTTTTGAACCTGAGATCAAAGCTCTCCAGCGATTTCAGGAGCACCAGTTTGCACTTGGCACACACACAACCGCCAATATCCTCGAATAAATGCAGTGCGTGGGGTATGA